TGATATTGGGACTTGATAGAAATTTAGGGAACTCATCTACTACATATGAACGATTTCTGTGTAATGATAAATACGTAAGTATTCGTTTTCCTAAACAAAATTCTTTCGTACTTCGGACGATGTATTGAACAAATCCCAAGTACCGAATACATCAGTTATTTCCAAATGCCTATGATACCTTCCTACTAAAAATGTATTTTATATTCTAAATTTTAACATATTATATTGATTTAAAAATGCATTGTATTTGTTAAACGTTACATTATTAATACCATATAATGCAAATGCATAATAATAATGATCATTGCATAGTCCGTAAATAATTAATGTTTGTTTATATTACGTAGCCTATCGACTATAACAGATATCAAAAACTAAAAGATTTATTAAATATTATCAATATCAAAATAATTACAATATTCTTCTTACATTTTCAGTTTCTATTTTTAAAACTCAACTACTAAAGAACTTTCAGTACTGTTTAAAAATAGCCTACAAACCATATATTCCCCCGAAAAGCAAATAATAAATAAATATTTGAACGGTATGAAATAATAATTTATAAAAATAAAAATAGCCTGATTTCAAATTAATGTAAACAGAAGTACAGATTATCGTTGTATGGAATTAAATATAGACTAGAATTATTTTAATATAAACTGTAATGTCCAGCCATCAACGTTTAACAATTGCATAACAACTGAATCAAAATAATATTCGAAGATTATTCATTAAAATGGTACTTATAAATGAAGACAATCTATTTAATGAGAACATTTGGTAAATTACAACGCACAACTGATTGATGAATCATGAACCATGGTCCATGGCCCATGATTATATAAATCTGAATTATATGCACTAAAATGAAGCAAAATAACTATGACATGAATATTATTTTAAGGAGGGGGAGAGGTATTATTTAAAATAATTGAAAAATTCTTAATGTTCGAGCACTAAGACTTTTGTTGAGTTTTATTACGTTAACTTCGCTTCGGCTAATGAATGATGAAGCTATTGACACTTCTATAAAAAAAATGCAGAAATTATTTACTTTCGTTAATGAAAAAGATTTCTAATGATACTTTTGTAACAATTGATGATGATGGAAATGATAGTAATTATATTTTCGTTGAAAACGATGGAATCGTAAGCTATGACCGAAGCATTGTGAATTATGTTAAATGTTAATAGTATTGAAAAAAAAGTAAGGCGAATGCATCAGTTAAAGGAAATCGAATGTCAGCTTATTATTTACCAGAATTAAAAAAATATATAAAAAAACTGTATCGTGAACTCATGATTTTCAACTTTGAACATGAAAAATGAAAACTTTTTTTGATTCTTCTTTTTAATAAGCTCCAATGAAAAGTAGTTTTTAGTTTCAATTAGTAAAAAAAAATCAAATGATATGGTTCGTTGAGTCCCTTGTCAGTAGATCGATTTCGTAATAAAGCATATCAATGTTATTAACAGTGACACTACAACATTTAGTAAGCGCACAAAAAAAAAGATAAACAAAAAACAAATTATAACATGTAAATTTGTTTTAAATAATTCTGACGATGAAATCCTTATATTTTCATCTAATAAAAGCATTACTAAAGCTGTATTGGTTGGTAACGAAGAAAATTGTACAATAGATTATAATAGAGAAGAAGATAATCTAAAAAAAAACATATTGAATAGAGATAATAATAATATGACTGAAAGTCATAGATTGTTGAATTATCAAAAAAATTATTATTTCGATAATAGTTAAAATGTGATCAAAATTCTTTTGAAAATTGGAAAGGAGAAGGTACAAAAAGTAATCTATTGACAAAAAAAGTTTTATACGTCATATAATTATTAATAAAATTAATACTAAAACTTGTCTGAAACACGTAAAAATAAGTACATAATGCTATATACCAATATCATTTTATGCTTTATAAGTCACACACTTTAAAATAGTTTATGCTGAAGAAAATAAAATTAAACCATATTACTGTTATATGACTTACTTTTAAATAAATTATAAAATATATACAATTATAGGTACTATCCTAAAAAGAATGTTTTAATATTTCAATAATTATATACTTCATAGTAGGTAACTTATGGATATGGTTATTATATTATGTCTTAAATAAAAAGGCTCAATGGTGTATAAAAAACACTTAAAAAAATTAAAAACATTAATTTTATATAAACGCAAAAAAAGAAGAATAAACCCGCACCTTCTTACACGACTTTACATTCAGAAACAGTAATATCACATTTATTTCACATTAATTAAAAAAAAAAAATAAATTAAATTAAAAATGTTTTAACACTAAATATAATATGATTAGTTTTTGCGTTTTGTAAATTTATTTAATCATGTTAGGGATACTACTAATTATATTTTATAGAAAAAACAGCTTAGTGTGGTAAAATTAAGTTAAATTAACATACTAAGCAATTTTTTTTACATTTAATAAATTTGATGAAAAAAAAAAATCATTCGTATGGTTACATAGTAGGGTACCTATGTAAACACTAAAATGAAATTAGTTTTTAAATTCATAAAAACGTAAAAATAATTGTCATTTAGCAAAAATCGATTTGTAATTATTTTCAATTAGTTTACAATTAATCAGTAGTATTTTGAAGTTGATTATATAAAGTGAGATACTAACTAAAAAAAATATTAAAATTCCTAAAAAATATTTAAAAAAACAGTTACAATAAGAGAACTCGATTTTTAATTATTTGCAATTAGCTTACAATTAGCAGCAATTGGTGGTGTTTTGAACTTGATTAAATAAAATTGGGGAGCTATATGAAGTTACTCTCGATATTTTATTTTATTTCGTTAAAAAATGGATGATTTGCAATTAATGAAACTTAATTTAAGATTTTTAATGGTATTTGAAAATCAGTTGGACAAAGTGAGTGGAAACTTTATGTATACCAAAACATTTATACTTGTACACAGCATAAAATAAAACTATGCTAATATCTCATAACATTATAAGATTTATATCGTTATTATATAGAGAAGTTAACATTATTTTAAAATTGAAAAATCTAACCTAATCAATGTACCATGTGTTATACTATAAATAGTGAGCAGTATGTGTTTTGATGTCTATTGTTTTAATTTAAAAATATTTTCAATAATAATTAACTTAGAATAAACTAACTTAGATACTCTGTACATTTGTTCAATATCAATGAAATGGAATAGAAAGAAAAAAATAAGAATACATTACAAGGCGTGTTATATTCTGACTGTAAATAAAAAATAAAGTCTGAAATGATAATTCTTTATACCTAAATAAGTTATTAATTATTATCAGTATTAAAATAGCAAAAATAATAGATCATTGTTTCTTGAAATTTATTTTAAATTTTTATGATAATTTTCAACACATTTTTAGCTCTTTTTGCTTGATAAATAAAAATGTATATTTATATTTGCATAGTAAAATATATTATATTACTTACATATAAACTTCAATGTACGCGTAAAATTGCTACTCAATATTTATGGTAAGTAGTAAACTACGCAAAAATATGAGTTATTGTTTATTACAATATTAATACATGTCTTATTTTTCATGTAGTTTTGTACACATATATGAAATCATATTAACCATATTATTACAATATAGCCTGTATATTATCTTCAAAAATATACTCACATTATTGAAAAAGCATATATTTTTTTTTATTTTTTTTTCAGCAGTCATTTGTTTGCATATACAAAAAATCAACAAAACAATACTATGCATAGTTTTTAAGTATTTTTTTATTATTATATAATTTTATTTCAATAGCAATAAACAACAATAATATAACAACAATAATTTCAAACATAACTGATTACAAAAAAAAAAAAAAAAACGATGTCAATTTTTTTTCAAGCGATATTTTAAATTACTAAAATTCAAAACTTGTCTTTTTAAAAAAAGTGTACATAATATTATATTGTAAGGGGATATTTTTTTAACAAAAAGCTCGTCATTATGATTCAAGTATGCAATATTTATAATAATTATTTCAAGAAATAAAATATTTAATTATTATTATTTTTATTATTTTTTTTTTCTATTGCGCGATTAAGGTTGATACGGTTTTAACATGTTTATCCTTAGAAATATTGATTGTCTCAGAAAGCCAATATTATATTTTGTTCGTATTTTTATAGATATAATTTTTTTTTTTTTTTTTTCGTAATAGTTATTTGTTCATTTTGTATTGCTATTGTTTACACGAAATTGCAATATGTAAAACGCTTCATAACAATAAAAAATAAATATATTTTATAATAACAAGCTCCCCACAAGCCCCCCTGATTCCCCCAATTTTGAATAAATAGAACAGTGATTTTGTAATTTCAACTATAACACTTTAATTTATATATAACTATAAATACTTTTTTTTTAATGAACTTAATTTTAAGTTCATACAAAAATTGCGTGTAAAAAACCTTTTAGTGCCGTTGTAGTGATTTTTGAAAATATTATTATGATTTTTAACAAGAATTCATAAACAGCCGCGATTTATGATGGTTATAATTATAATTATAATAATAATGATAAAAAATCGTACTAATTTAGTAGATGATAAAAAAAATAATTAAAATTAAGATATAGCTGCTCATGAACGAATTTTTTTTTCTCAAAAATGATAACTTTCAGACTATTGAAATACAATTATAAATTCGGTAACGCAGTGTATAAAATAATGTTCGAAATTAATAATTTACAGTTATTTAACTTACACGCTAAAATTTTTTTTAACCACTTTACATTTGATATTTACAATTATATAAAAAAAAAAAAAACAAATGAGAATTTTGTTTTATATATATATATATAAAGAATTTTCTAAATAACAATGCTGTATATTAGGGTACAGCATACTGATACAATTTTTTTTTCAGTTTTTCTTTTTTTCTTAAATATTTTTTTTGTAAATTGGCTCTCCTAAGGTTTTATCTTATAACTTTTTTTTTTTTGTATAGTACATAGGCAATTATAATTTTAAACTACAATTTTCATAATAATAAAACATTATAGAGTACAACAAGCGTTATACATATTCCTTTTAAGTTTTAATTTTTGATGTCCTACATAATATACATTATTTTAATCAAATTTTACGATTACAAGACAATTATGGTATGAACAATAAAGTAGTTATTTAAGTAAACTATTACATGACGAAATTTAATACTGTACAGAAAAAGTTACCGATGGGTGTAGCGCTAACACGTTGTCCGTTAGTCGTCTAAATCGCAGCAGCAAGGCTCGAAAATGGGGTGGCGCACATTGTGGCAATACGATCGAATAAAGTGTAAAAAATATCGGCAGAAAAGTATTTTATAAATATCGGAGATGAAGTATGTAAAAAGTGGACGTGAAATTGTATATTCGGACGATAATGATAATAATGACACACGATTCCATCTGGGATGTCAATCGAAATGAATGTTTAGATAGTACATGACAATTGTTTTGATGAAAGAAACGAAAAATACTAACGAGTGTAACAGTTGTATTGTGTCTTTTTTCCTCAGAAAATATAGATTTTCGAAAAAGCGCAAAGAAATCTCCAAGCCATTAATCTTTCAAACGGTACATGCACGTAAGATTTTCAGGTCGACGGACACACACCCATACACACATACACACAACACACATATAAGTATACCTTATGTAGTCGTTTACCATACAATATGAACTTGTATAAATTTAATAGATCAATAAAATTTTACGTTGTAGGTTTAATCCTAAGTTGTACGTAAAATTTAAACAATCCATTTCAAACATATACATAGCATAGGTGTGTGTGTGTTTACAAGTTAATATAACTACTCGAAAGTGTAAGAGATGAACACGAGAAATCCTAACATATTGACTGAGTGGATATTTTGTAGTATGTATAATTTAGATCAACGATCACGTACGCCGACGAGTACCTAACTGATGTCTGCCATAGAAATAATAGTATCAGAAAAATTAATCGTCAAACGTACTCTGACATTGATGAGTGAACAAATGATACAACCGTAAGACCTATGGTTCCCGGTGAGTTATTGATAACGTTATCGATTAAGAAAAGTACAAATATCAGCGTTTGTTACAGATAACGAAAACTAAAGACGACTCGAAGGAAATCGTCGTAGTGTTGCAACATTTGACGGAGTTCATAGAGGTTATGGTTGTGGTTGTGGAGATGGTTGTGGCGATCGTGTTTGTCGTGTGCGGTTGCCGTTAAATCGAGCCCGGCCCCGTGCGATTTAGATGTACGAATACGGACCGTCTGTGAGAGCGCTACAAAGCAATAGTCAGGAGTTGTCATCTTTGGCGCGTCCTCCATTTCGACTTGTGGGTTTGTATTCAAGCCCAGGATCAAACTGCATCAGCACAAATACCTGTGGTGGATAAACAATAAAAAATATGAATAAACAGTTAAACGCTAATTGTCACGAACTTATTAATAAAAAAAATCCATCATGTCATATGACGATGCCATAGTTGTTGTGTGAAAACAATAACAATATTATCGTTAAATTTCGAACATCTAACTCTGATGAAAAGAATAATAACTGTATTTGTCTTGTTCGGATTTCGAAAATTTTTTTTTTGATTCCACGTGTTCCACGTGTTAACGAACCGCCCCCGTTGTCCATAAATAATAATGTATGCTCAAATAATGATTATGATATTATACCAAATGTCTAAACGCTCCACTACATTCACAACATAATAATGACTACCCCACCCCCCTCACCATATGATATTTTAAACGAACTATCCAAGTCTGCCACGCTGCACATTCGCACGCGGGCTTGATGTCGTGTTGACCGAGTGCCAAGTCTCGGGTAAAAGAGTACGCTACGCATCGTTGGAAGCTGTGACCCGGTGTAGTGTACGTACCAGAATAGAACGTTTTTTCGAATCTTATTGCCTACGAATGCCATCACGACAGAAGGCATATAAATTTACACGTGCCCACAACTATTAAATTGTGTGAATATTAATCGACCATCAGCAACAACGGCAGAGCACAGACCTGCCTGACAGTCTATCTGTTGGTTTGAACAGGATTGAAAAAAATAATAACTAATGAACCTCGTTTCACGGTGGTTTCGATTCGAAGCGGATAACGTGATTTAACTACGTATATAGATGATATTTTATTTTTGACTTCCTACGAATTAATTTCTGAACAATGTTTTAGGATTCATGTCGATTCGTCCATAAAACGTTACAAAAATTCGAACAATAGCCATTTATCATTAACAAAATGTTTTATAAGATCGATTTTATGTATGAATATTATGAAATTTTACAATAAACTGTATAAAGTATTACAAATATAAAAAGGACGCCCATCTTTGCATCACAGTAATAACGATTGCGCGTGATCTATTAAATTACACTTATCTGTAGTATTGGAATCGTCGCACATATTACACTTGAAATAAAATAATAAATCGACAATAACGATTATATCAGTAAAAAGGTTACCTGATCCGTGGGCATCAGTGAGAAATCATCTGGTGGGTTCGTGATGACGTATCGTTTTGACGACGCATCGCAAGACGAACTCCTGTCTCTGAATCTGTAAAAATATCAAAGAGATCGGATGAGAATAGCGACGTCCCGTCGCCAGCGTTAAAATACGCAAAAAAGAGGACAACACACATCACAAACAGTATAACTTAAAAGTACACCGATATCACAAACATACAGACACGCAGAAATACAACCTGGGACAAGGAGGGGTGAATTAAAAGGGGTCCGGTCTGAGCAGGAAAACAAGAGAATAACTTAAATGGTCGAGTTTTATGTAATATGATAGTGACTGTTTTATCAAAGAACAATCATTATTTCAAAAACTATCAAAATTTTTGAAAATATTTTATATTTAATAAGAATCGAATTTTGGAAAGAAGTTTGTGAATTGTATTTCAAGTATTTAAAATATGAGTCAAGTGACTAAAAGGGGTACTGCACAACGTTTTATGGCCTACCTTATCACTCATTAAAACGTATAAACTTCTCATACGAAATCAGTTTTAAAATATCAAAGTACTCCAATCAATTTAATAATCTTTAAACACGAATAACTTTAAAAATTATAATGAAAGATAAAAATAAAAATTGATATTTTAAAATTTAAAGTAATTTTAAAAGAACATTTTCATGAAACTTATGTATAATAAAATGATTTTTCTTCAATAAAATAACCACTTTGTTGAGAACGATATTTTTTATTCCATTTTTTTCTAATGAACGCATTGAATATTTACATGAATTATACGGCACTACGACTATTTAAAAAAATAAAATCATGTGTTTATAAAAATATTATACATATTCGAATGTGTTTAAACCATTATACTGGGCCCTGACGTACAAATAATAATATTTTCTTATGGTTATCATAAAATCAAGATCTTATGAAAACGTCGAAAAATAATTTAAAGAATTTTACATTTTATACACACACACGTACACACATACATTGCCATCAAGACGTCTACATGCCACTACTAGTAATAATAGTAATATAATTGATGGTTATAGGGCATCTGCCCCAGTTTTGTGACGTTTTCAAACGTAATTAAAAAAAAAAAAAACTAAGATCGTCGGTCCACTTAAATTACATACACCGAGACCACAATATTATTCATAAGTAAAAAATTACGACTTTTTTCGGATGAAATTCTGTATAATATGATCCTTAATAAATAAATATCCAATGCTAATTCTTTGAATCGATAACACAATTGATTTCAAACTATGTAATTTGAAGATGTATTAATTAGGTTTATTTTTATTTCTTATAAAAAAAATAATAATTTCACTATAAAATGTAAATTTAAAAAATATATATGTATAAAATATCTATTGTTCAATTACATACTATATTTTATTGTTGTTAAAAATAATATTTCACTATGTGTCTATTATAGTTTAAGTTACTCAATATAGATATCACTAAAATAATATGACCTTAAATCATATTAATAATATTACATGACTAGTTAATATTATAAATTAAATCTTGAAGTAAACGATCTTTATTCTCTTAAGAATATCTTAAGTTATTTTATAACGTATATATTATGATAACATTATGTTATCTATGCAATGTATAAAACGTAAAATCGTCTTAAAAATTAAAAATAGTGTTAATACTCGAACTATACTTATTTAGTTTAAAAAAAATAGTCGTTGCTCTATCAACTAAACATAAAAGTTATTCTGAATAATTATTATTATTAACTTAACTAAGTTTGGTGATTATATTTTATCGACCTTTTATTTTTTTTAAAACATTCAATTCCTGAATAAATCTCTTTACTTTCTTACGCCTGATTTCAAGCTTCATAATATTATTATCACAGTTCACTTACAACTATTATTTATTTTTTTGTTGTTATATTTTTTATCTACTTTATATTAACGTTGTTTATTATAAGCTATAATACAGTGCGATTTTATTATTTTGATAAAATCAAGTGTTTACATCATAATTTTTGATTCCAACAATATGTATCTCAGTTTTGCAATAAACCATAATATCTTCATTATTTTTCAACATAAAATTCCTACAATACATATTTTTTTTAATTTACATTAAATCTATTTACTTTTTTAAGAATATTATTCTTTGAAATTAAATTATATTTCTCCCAAACAATTAACAAAGTTAATTTAAAATACCTACTTTCTATCTATTGGAATTCTACGTCATAGGATTAACAAATTATAATGTGTTGGTATTAATGATAAGTAACACATGGATGATGGTATACTGTGATGAATAAAATATTTTTATACAAAATCCTAGGAAACTAAAATATTCGAATACTTCTTCGCATAATAAAAATATTTAAATAGTTAAAAAATATTTATACTCAATACTTCTCTTCTTCACGACTTTAAATGTTTGTAATTTTAAACCAATAATTCGAATACAAACAAATCATTCCTGTTTATATCTACTTAAAGTTTCTAAAAAGTTTTTCCAGCATAAAACCAAGCTAACTTTCGATATAATCTAAGGATAAGTAGACGACAATAATGTAATAAAAAATATTTGTGTTTCTTACGGCATAACATAATATCACGACAGTGGATCACAATTATAGCGATCACAATGATTATGTTTTAGGGTACGGATTCGGACCCCTGTTAATTCGTTATGGCACTTAATATTAATAGCAAACTACAAAACATGTATAGTTAGTTGTTCATACCGGTACCTGTATAGACCAATGCACAACATCCCGTATGACTTGAGGGCGGATACGAACAGGTCGCCGTACTTGCCGGCCTCGCCGAACTGTGCCAGCGGCCCGTCATACAGCGAGATCTGACCGACCCGACACCGGTCTCGGTTGGCTAAACTCTCGTCGGTGCTAAAAAACCATAAGCACGATCATAACTTATATAATGAAATTAATGCATTTTGATAATATATTATTTGTACTTTTCATAACTATTAGTGTATATTATTTATAAAAACGTAATTACGTATACATTTATAATTGCTTTATTTAGGATTGTTGTACCCTTTTTTTTTTTTTTTAGGTTTTAATAGAGCTAAATTACCCGAATATTAAAACATAAATAATAATAATATCATACTCATCCTACAAATTATTTTTATCAACACTCAATTTTGATACTGTCGTGTCATTATTATTTTCACTTTAATATTAATGGCATTGCGCTTAAGGTATTATATGTATATTTTACGAAAACCAAAAAAAATAAATAATAACTGCCTGATGACACGCGGTATTTTATCAGTGGTACGGTAAATATAATAATAACGTCAGGTGGATTGCGTGTTTAAACTACGTACTCATAAAATATCAGTGTAATATATTTTATTCAAAAACTTTACCGCTTGCGCAATTATTATGTATTACACTGGCCCAGAAAAGATTTTATTGGTTTGATTTTATATTAAGACGCTTGATCGTTCAAAATTAAATCATACAAATTTAATAGTCAACATGATTCTATTGAGTCAAGCTAAAAAGTAGTAACTCTGTTTTTAATCTAACTAAGAACTTATCGCCGGGGCCGGGCACCCTTAATAACAAGGTTTTATTCAATTTCTTGTAACAAAAACCGCATTAAATTTACTATCTATTTAAAAGAATATTAATTTCAAAAAATTAATGGTATATTAATTTTTTATTAATGGTATTTTTATGGTATATTCATAATATTTTTCAAAATTAAAATAATCAAGTGTCACATTATAAATCCAATTATTATAAATCTGTTAGTCGTAAAAAAAGTTTTTTGGCTTATTTTACTAACTATTGACAATACTAAATTGAGGATTAAAATATTGTGACCTTTAATAAGTTAAACTAATTTTCTATTCAATAAATATTCAGTAAGTAATCTGTTACTTGTATAATATTTTCGTAATTAAATAATATATTATAATTACATAAATCAACATTTTTTTTTCAAAATAAAAAGGTTTTTTACAATCTGTATTTGTAAAGCCTATACAATAAGCGAATGAGATGCAAATGATACAAGTAAAATAGAAGGCTAGAAGAGGGAAAAATTACCATTGGCGAAACCACGAAATCGACGATTTAATTATGGGTAATATGACACAGTTAGGTTGGTATAACAATAACATATAACCTATAATAATAATAATAATAATATTTTTATGTGCTATAATTTATTAATTAAAATGAATTTAAGGTTTTTTTGCTTTTCAAATACTTTGGTCAAATGAATTTAATTGTTTTGTTTGAATCATCAATTACAAAATAAATAAGTGCTGTTCATTTTAAATAGTTTAGTACAAAATTACACGAAAAGATTAACCATATGAATACAAAAGCACATCGCTCGATTAGTCGTTAGTTGCTCTTTTAGAAACTAAATGCTTAAATATATTTTACGTAGTGCACGTACAAAGATAGTTATTAAAACTAACCTATAGCCACCACGGAGTCCAGCCCCTTCGGCCAAAATAAGTTCAAGTTCAGGCGTTGCTCCACCGGTAATCAGCGATCGAATGAGCGTCAACGCATTTTGATTGAAATACGTCTAAAAAACAAAAACAAAATAGAACTTTATACAATATATGTATATATATATATAAATTATATATATATATATTTGTTGTTATCAAATATTAATGTCAAGTATTTATAACATGTTACTATAATAACAGAGTTGTTTAATATGGTAAATGCGGTCAAAAGCATGTACAGATATGTTCTATCACCCTATGTGTTTAAGTTTTCGACCGGCTGTTTTAGATTTAAATTATTTTCCTGACAAGCGAACACCTAATAGATAGCTGAATTAAGTTATCGTCTTCGATCCATAGCTGGTAAAAAATACACGGGAAACGCAATGTAAAAATAACCCACCTAATCAGGGTTTAAGATGGCATAATATAGTTATAATAATATAATTGGCAATGAATAAAAATATGGTTTCTATAATATTTCATATATGTTAACACTAAATTTAAATACATAATTGTATTCTATTATAAACTGTTTAATGTAATTAGTAATTAATATGTTATCCCAACTGCTAGTGAGAGTGAGTTAGAACTAACAGTGTTGTATTTATTAGTATTTAAGTATTATTAATGTAGAGCATAATAATTTTCGATAATAATGATTATAATTTTTAAGCTAACGCATAACTTTTTAATTTGATTAATATATGAGTATAATCAAGGGAAAAAATATTATAGAATTAGTAAAAAAAATTCAGACTTTCACCAAACTCTAAGATATACCAAATATTGTTTGTAAAATTTCAAGTTACAAATGTTAAAATAAACATTTTCAGACATTTACGACAACAGCCAGTGAAACATAAGTTTCAACAATATTTGTACTTTTACCGTTACATTTATAATCTATAAAATATTATTTTCGTATAATAAATTTAATTTAAATGTAGATTAGTAGATTTTTTCACCAATTTAATAATTCAAATTCTAGCACACATTTTTCCAGATAATATGAAAAAATAAATCTTAAGTAAAATGTGATATTCTTGAATTAAAGTTTTAGAAATATAAAGAAATATAATAGTAATATTCAATATTTAATAAAAAAAAAAAAAAAATTAGTATACTGATACGTATCAATTGTTAATCAAATGTTTAAGAGGTTATAATACCAATATATGCGGTTTACCAATGAAGCCTACAAACTTGTACCTGACTATGACCTTAATTTTAATCAGTGGGTAACTTAAAGTATCGATATATATCGAATTTTTTCCTTAAAAATCTTGTATAATAATAATTTTTTTTTAAGACTAAGTGTTTCATTTTTCATTTTATACATTAGTTTTCTTATTGTATAACCATAAAATAAAGTAAAAATTGTATTATGAAACATATGGAATAGTCAAATTATAAAAGTAATTGATTTCTGTAGTATGTATAATATTTTTATCAAACTAAAAAATAATCAAACAGATAACTTTATAAGACTAAAACAATAACATCCTGAAAATAAATATTTATTTTAAATAGAAGAAATCATCACAGTTCATCTTTAAGGAATTCAGCATATTAGCATATTTTTAAAGAGACCGCTTTTTAAGTGCAGTCTAAAGGAGGATAGATGAGTCATTTTACTCTCCACTTCACATCCAATTCAACCCATATAGCTAGTTGCTAAAAAAAATATAGGTTCATGTTCATTTAGTAAATTAATAAACTTATACAGTCAAAGCAATATTTTTTGTATATCATACCTATAGGCTATAATATATATATATATATATTATACTGGTGAAAAGATTGATGAGTGAGAAGTCCACATCCAAAGAAATATTGTTTTATTTGAATCGCGATCATGAATATTATTACTATTTTTGATGATTGATGGAGTTATATTATATTATATTACTTACCGTTGACATGAGCGAGTCCAAGACACTGACGGCAAAAGCTGTACCACACGCAAACGGCTGTGTGAGGTACAATTCTGTATCAGGGTCGTCGTCGTCGTCTTGGTCAAGAAACTGTACGTTGCTGTCGTTGACCAGTTCAGTAATCATGGGAACGTTTGCACCGTAAACTGATCCTCGCCTTTGCAACACTATGGGCCCACCGGCACAATTCAGACCATCCGGATCAAACTGCTTGGTCACCGCAGTCTCATCTGCGTAACATATCAAAACCAAATCAAATGTGAATTTATTTTATAACATATTTTTACTTAAGTCTTAAACAAATATTTATGTTTTTAGGTAATTTTTATAAAAATAAAAATAAAAAAAATATTCAATTACAACATTTAATATTATGTTTTATAATTTAAGTTAGATATCATATATACAGTGTAGGTATCTATAATATGTATTATTATACCATTAAATATATTTTTGAGTTCAACAGAAAAATTATATAGACGTTCTGAATCGAAAATTAACATGTTAAGATTTCGTTTTATTTAATAATGATATATCATTTAAAATTTTCAAAACTTTAAGATTTTTCAAAATTAAAAAAAGGTGTTTGAAATGCAATATCACTAGTATAATAAAGACGACTTGGATATGATATTTAATCATTATCAACAATTTTATTAATATTTTACTAAAATAATATACTATAACTAACTATTATGCTAATTTATGGCAATATAATCGTGGTTGAGATATTTACTTTTTTAATTTTATGTATCTTAAAAATAATTAAAAATGCTTAATTGATATTTGTGTAAAAAATAACGAATGTAGTTATAAATTATGCATAAAAGAAAATTATACTTATCGGAATAATTTACGCATTCTGCAATATAACATTTTAATCTTAAAATTTGATTTAAATATATGTCAACTAGGGTTTAAATATATCAATAGATGTTAAGAATAATGTAAATACACGATTAATCATGTAAAATCATATTAGTTAAAATGGTTAAGTAATCCAATTATTATCGTTTCTTAAACAGTCCAATTTATTTTGTTTATATGGTAGACAACCTAAAATAGTGTTATACAATTTTTAATTATATGATTATTCAACTCATTTGGAGGTCTGCACTTTAAAAAATATATTTTTTTGTAAATCGAGATTAGTGTGGCCACTGTGCTGAACGAATTTAAGTAAAGAATAAGTGATGGTCATACAGATAAATTGGAAAGACAAATTGAAAGTTGAACTGAGAATTGATTTAAACGAATCTAAACGAACACATCTTTAAGAAATTAAAACTTCTTGAGTATACATCTATGATTAAAATTAAAGGTCCCATGAAAATTAAAAAATGGCTATAATGTTATTGTTTTAAATTTTATAAGTTCAACGAAAAGTTTTGAATTGTTTGTGAGTAAACGATGTAATTTACATACAAAAATGTTTGCGCACAGATCGAATATGTCTTACAGTAGTATATAGTAAACAATAAAAACTATAAAGACGATAACGTTAGCATAAAATATTAAATGGCATTATTTTTATGTGTGAAAAATATAGTGTCAGCTGTGTTTACTTTTAAACAAATATTTAACCACGCTTTTTACTTTTTTTCTTCTTTTTTTACCTTGCGTAAGCACTCCAATGGTGTCATCAAAAGTCATTGCTTTGATGTTTAGCGATGCTAAAATGGCCTCTTTGTCAGCCAACGTAGGGTCGTCATTGCTAGGAACTTTTGCTGACAATATCACACACATATCGCACAAATTTACATTAACCGCTCGTAAGTCAGCTCGACTCAGTGGCGATCCCTGAAATGTAAAAAAAAAACTGCTGTAGTATACATTTTTTAGTCTAGTAAAAACGTAGTGCGGGTGTTGATAGAGATATATTTTTATAATATTATTTTATTGGAAAAAAATATATTATATGACGTACGTTGAGCACAGAAATCTTCGGTAAATTTTGTAGCATTTTCCACTCGCGGCGAATATAGTCCACGGCGCCGACGATCACCACGTGTTTTAGCTCGTGGTAATGAAAATTTGATGCCCGTAGAGGCATAACTAAATTTCTAAGTCCAATCAACGGCGAATCTGGGTCAGCGAACAGACACACCACGACATGGCCATTCAATACGGTCATCGCGGCTTGGTTCCTGTCCTGTAAACATTCAAATTCCAAATATTAAGACACGCTCGTCAAACAGTATACAATTTTATGTTATACTCACCAGAATACATTCTTCAAGGCTTTTAGCCGAACTCCAATGAAACATACCAGTGGAGTCGTACTTCATTTCAGTCTTTTCGAAATCAAAGTCTTTCGCTTGGTCGTCAGCGATACCGATTTGAATACCGTTGCTGTTTATGTTTGTGCCGGCCGATCCTCCTCTAGTCGTCGGTCTTTGATCAGACATAAAAATAATGAAAATTTTCTTAATTCATTTTATTTTAAATACAAATTACTAAAAGCAAATTTAACAATAATAATGTCAACATAATATTTTACTTAATTAAATAATATCGCTGCTACAAAAAATAAATAAATAAGTAAATAAATAATATAAATAATAATAAGAAAAAAAGATCTGTCTTAAATAATGATGAAGTTTTTAAAATAATTTATCATTTATAAATATTTTAAATTTTTTATAAAATAGATTACATACAATGAAATGAGCGATTCGTATTAAAAAATAATTGAACTTAAGTAACGTTTTTTTTTTAATAACATGTTTTTAACTTTTTAAAATTATAAAACAATTTTTACAATTGTAATATATTTTACTCAAATTTAAGTCAATGATATATAATCGCAATTATTCAACTTGAATTTTTTAATTCTAAAAATGTATTATTAATTTGGATCACATACAAATCAATCGACATTCGTAAATAAAGAATTAGGAAAAAATAATTTTTATTTATTTTTTTTAAATAACTCAAATAATCTAAGTGCCTTAATTTTAATACCTGTTTATTATAAAGAAGATAATACATTTAATAAAAAAATATTTAAATAAAAAACATATCGAGCTACAAACGTAAAATATATCTATAAGGACTATAAGGCAAGCAAATTAACACAAAGCAAACAACATAGGATTGAAAAAATATCAATATATAGAAACAAGCAGGACAAGATTGGTGGATTAGTATAATATATTAAGTAGAAAGCGTACAATAATTTTTTAACTTCATATGCGAGTTGATATCCGGCGTAGCTTCCTTCTTCTTGTTGAGCTCTGCAATATATTCAAGACGACCACGATCAAACATTTAATTTACACCAAGTAAAAAGGAGAGACAAATGAAAATAATCAATAAAAAAGAAAATAATAATAAACCAAATGTGGTTATACTGTATGTGTAAGTTGAATGTGTTAGAGATTGGATTCGTGTAAGGAATTAATGCAATAGAATTTTTTAAGAGTTCGTTAGTGTAAAAATGAAAATGAAAAACAAAAAACAAAAAAAAAAACAACAACAACAAAAAGGCCGAATATATTGTTCGTATGTCATAGTATTAATTTATAATCGTATCGGGTTTTTGAAAAAGGTCATGTATCTTACCGGTTGTAATTTTGGTTAGGCGACCCTTTATCTGCCGGACGGTTGATTGGTTTCACTTTGTTTACTTGTTTTGCCGCAGACATTATCGAATTAGGCATTGTCGTTGGCGTATTTTTGTTGCCCAACACTGAAAATATAAAGCATTTAACGTTACAGAACTCGTGAACGGTTTTATTTATTCTCTTTCTTTTTTTTTTCTGGTGAATTTTGCTTCACTTTTAAAATATCCTCTTTTTATCACTCACACCACATTGTGCTCAAAACTTTTACTCACGGTCTTGAGCTTGTTCTTTTCTCACCATTTAATTTGAATTTACAATTTACCAAACAAACACCAAAGAACCAAAAACTATTTTCTGTTGCTACCATTGTGCGTAGTTTCCCGGCTAAAACTGTCCGAATTAGAGCCGGTAATTTATCTCTTTCCTTAATCTTCTTTACTAGTTTATCCCCATTTGTATTCTTACCAGCACCACCACCTATCTCAAGTACTGCCATCATACTCTCGCACAATATCTCATTCAAATTTCGTTTCTTTTTTCGCTACTTCTGACATTAACATTTTTTCCAGATACACGCTATATTAAAATAAACTATATTATAATACACCATACACCACCAGATTTTTTCCCTTTATTAGTCAAGTGCTATATTTGACCAAGCAAACTATAATGCGCTTTGCCGGGTCCTTTAAAATAGGTACGTTAAAATACGAGCATCTACAATATTAGTAACGGTTATCAAACTCTTTCGCTTATTATCGCAAATAGTCTATGAACAAAAGGTAAGGGGCTTATAAATAACCAACGATAGTTATCGAAATACGAAATATTATCAGTAAACTAATAAATTAATGGATGCCATCTAGAAATTGAGGATATAAAACATTAGGACGACGATGGTATAAAGTATTGTTATTAATGCGTTATACAGCTGGTACAGCGGTTGTAGTTATAATTGCATTATAATATTCTATAATCTATATGAAGCAACGTTAGGTAACCTAATCAAGGTACGATACCAATTTAAAGGCGTACCTTGGTAATTATTTTAGAAACACTATAATTTAGAATAACGAAGTAGCGATTAAATAGTAGTAGCATTGAAAACAATTCGTATTTTAAAATATGGGTAAAAAATCAAACACCTACTTGTGCAGCTTTTATCAACTTTGTATCTTTGTATATGAGACGACGGCTTACGCAGAAAACAAAATGTTTCATTAAAATTAAAAAAAAAAAAAAGTTATGATAATATTAGTATTAATTATCTGATCTACTCTCATTTACATTAAAACTTATTACTTTTTATCATATATGAAAACCTAAATATCTAAACAATAATCCCACTTAAATTTTCTCATCAAAATTTTCTAATCACCACTTTTAAAACGATAACTTGATATCGGTTACAAGTTGAAAGAATAAAAAGGTAAGATAGAACACGGTGAGTGAGAAAGGTGACGAAAGAGTAATTGAATACATGAAAATGTTATTTCCAAAATATTAGTAAATATTTTGGTATCGATATCATCGTCCTGCAATTTATAAAAACCTCCCTGTGGTTGAACCGAACTCCATTGCATTTTTGAGCCTAGTGTGTTTCCACGTGACAGCCGTATTCAGTGGTTCAGTGGTCGAAGTGATTCCATCTTAAAGGAACAAATCCTTTACGTCTACCAATCCATCCATTTATCTTTTTAGTAATCGATCCATTTTCCACCTCTCTACTTATTTCGTTTAAAATAATTCATCAATCGTGAACATGGAACAATTAATTATTTGCATAATTTGTAGCTCATATAAATAATGTTGACTAATTTATTTTATAAAAGAAATGTCTGATTTATAAAATAATAAAATTTAACACCGAAGATCATTAAACGAAATATGAGTCACTTAGTTATTAAAACTAAATAATTTCACAATAAGATCTACAAAAATATAATAAGTATCACCGAGTAACTAATTACCGATAACGGCTTTATTGAAATGTATGAGAACGCACATTTTACGAATTAACTAGAATAAGTGGCAACTCCTCTTCATCTCCTCACCGACCATTTAATATTGATCCACTTCGACCACAGAACACCTCATAAAATTATACCACAACCTACTCTAAATTAATATTATATCATGTAAAACTGCAAACAAAAATAATCTATGAAACGCGCGCCGGCAATGACCCACTCAGATGATTTTTGTCTTATTGCGTATTTTGGTACAACGTCTGTGATGTATTTTATTAGTGAGATTTATTACAACGATAATTTAATAAGATATCGTTCTATTATTAAGAACAAGAATTCGTCGTATGAAATTTCCCTACCACGCTCTATGGGTGATTTTCTGTCCATTAATTTTACAATATAATGGTCCATAAGCTTTGCGACAACAGTCACTACCTACGACAGTTGTTTACTTTTAAACGCGCGGCAAAGTGCATTGTGTGAAAACTATTGGTTGTATACATGTAATTTACAGTGCTATATGGTGACTTACGTGTTATTTCCTTTTCCTTTCCGACGTCACCTGAGAAAAGGTTGAAAAAAAAATACAAAGACAATTAAAAAGCGTTAATATAGAAAGTAAGAATTTTAGTAGACGTCAAATACACAAAATAAAAACACTTCAAAAAACCAAAAACAAAATTACAAACAAATGTCACGAAAGCAATATTAACAAAACCCAATAATATAAACAATAGAATTATATATAATTATGCCAGCGCACTCAAGCAATTGTAAATATTATGGCTTCAAAAAACAACGTTCTCAAGAGCGATTAATATTGTAAATAATAAGTAATAATAAATTAGCGAGTGTAAAATATTTCGCTATACATTATTATGATGCATTGCATAACAATGAACACAGCATAATAAACGTATAAATTAATATAATATAATCTACTGGTTGATGAAATAAATACAAACAAAAAATTAAAAACAATGTTCAAACAAACGGGATGATACATCTTACATTTTACTCGGATAGGTAAAGATGTAAACATATGTTTATGAAATCGAATAGATTAATTGTCAATAATTTTAATTATGAAAAATTGCAGAAAATCGTATTGTTGTGTTGCATAATGAGAGTTTGTATAATATATAACATGTGCTTATTTGTTTAATGTATTTTTTTTTCTTGTGAACAAAAACACGTGTAAGGATTAATGTATTGTAATATGTAAGAAAAATGAAGGGATGAAGGAAACATCAAGAGTGCCACGTCGAAGACACAATGCACTTAAGACAATATAAAGGCAAAAGCAACAGCAGTTTGTTTTGTTTTTATTGTTGTACCTCTGATATTATGTACTCTCTTTGGAAGAGTTGGTGGAGTTTCCGTGGGGGGAGGATGATCGTCTGAAAGAACATACATTCCAAAATTCACTAACCGACATAAATGATTTTATATAAAAAAAAAAAAGAATGTTATATTAAAATATTATATTATAGTTTCATCATTAATCCTCAACAAACACATGTGAACAATTAACCGTAATATTTCCATACGCAATTTACAAAAACCACATAATTTGAGCATTGATAATAATAGTTAAGAATTTAATTTCGATTCTTTATCGAAAATTGTATTGTTTTTTATTACATAATAATGATAACAATAATTTATTTGACTCAAGAAAGTATACATTTTTAAAAATTTTTTTAGATTACACATAATTATTATGAACCCTATTCACCACTGAGGAAAACATCTTATCTGTTGTAGATATACATTTATCTTGCTTAAAATCCTAACGTGACGTATATTTTCAAAGGAGTGAACAGTAAATATTTGACTATATCAACGAATACTCTTAACTATAATAATATAGTATAACACATAATATTATTTAATACATTTAATTAAAATCTAGTTTAAATATAATGTATTAATAGCGAACGAAAGTTCCAACTGGGAAACTACACCATTTTATTCATATTGTAGTTTTAACTAAGTACTTAGTACTTAATTTAATTTTATCAATTCAAAATATAAATATGCGGATATTATTTTGAAGTTTAAATCAAACTTAAATATATTTAATTTGTATTGATTACTGTTAAAATCTTAAACAAACAAGTTATTTTATATAAACAGTTCAGTGGCGTGGCGAAGTGAAATATTTTATCGGGCAATTCATTTTTTGAATAACCTACCACCCCTTAATTCTTACACAGTACCCGCTACCCATGACCCATGTGCCATACTATATACAACAAAAAAGTACCTTTATTAAATCAATATAAATTACTTTATTTTACAAACGGCTGAAACCTGGATATTTCCGAGTATATGATTCTAAAAATAGATTATATCGCAATAATATAATATTCTCAAGATGCTTATGCCGGAATGCCTATGCCGATGCCCTCATAGTCACTAGCATAATACTATAATTTCTTATTTTAATTTATTGCTTATTCGTAGAATGTACACTGTAGTATAATGTGTAATTAATAATATGTAGGTATACTATTAGATAGCTTTTCTTAGCATAATTATAACTATTGAAGTTATTATTCTTATTAAATAACAAATTAATTCAGATGATGTAGTCAGGTAGTCTTGTATAATAATATTTCTTACTAAATCCAGTACCCACCAACCCAGCACCCACCCCTTAAAAATGATCGGGCATCTGCCCTTCAAAATCACGGTCAACACGCCACTGAAACAGTTTTATATATAAATATAAAATTAATATATTTTTTAATGCAAAATATTACAAAAAATGAAATTGCAATTTGTTAATTAGATTTTAATCGATAAATTAGATTTCAAATATATTTTTTTTAAATAAAAGCTATCGAATAATAATGATGACATACAACACAAATCTATTAGGAACCAAAAAAGTTATGATTTTTGATGGATAAATAAGATAAATTTTTACAACAATAAGTAAACATATATTTCTGATTTACGAAAACATCTTCAATAAAGAATCATATTATTATTTGTTTGCCGGCGCGTTGTCATACAAGGTCAAGCCAACGCGCGTTCGGTTCTACTCACACCTAAATCTACGGTGGATATATTTCTTCGGTTTTCAATATACTCGTATTATTATTAACTTACTTCTTACCATCCAACTCTGTTCCGAAAATAATAATAATAATAATAATAATAATGATAATGATAATAATAAACATTTAAACAACAAAAAGGAAAAATAAACAGTAATGGATAAAGACCGCATGCAACTCTAATGCGAGGTTATCACAATAAATAATATTATGCGTGCATATCTTCAGCAAACACGTAAAACCCATCAAAGTCGCTTATAAGTTTTATATTATTTTATCGTTGAAAAATAATAATAACGATGGTAGTTATGGTAATGGTAAAAGTGATAATTATCAATCTCCGGGGTGGGTGTAAGTTCAGTTGCAATCGCATTCGTATAATAAAGGTACCTACAACTGTATATAACATGGACAGCCGCCAAAAACTTTGCGCGCCGTATTCGTCGTTGTCGCCACCACCGCTGCCGCCGTCGGTATCTCCGTCCACATTGTCTAATACGCACATATACGAATCCTACTTTACAACTCTGTATTTTATACTGTGTACTTTAGTCGCAACGCAATTTGATGTTTTGACGACACTCGAAAGTGCCAATAATCATCGTGTGTATACTCGTACGTGTACCTACGCTACAGAAACGGTATTGTTCGGAAACTAAGACGGCGCGGATCGGCTTTCGCATTTCACTTACAGATCGATCGACTAAATATAGGTGTAATGACCAGTGCCGGATTTAAGTCTAAGAAAATCAGAGTACAACTACTAATATTGCAGGTTACTTAAAAATTGCTACTTATAAGTCAATATTAATGCATTGATTAAAAATGTTTTTTTTTTAGTATTTGATAAATAAAATTGAAAATGGATATAAATAAGAAACCATTTTAATACATTTTGCTCGTATATTTCGTTAAATCGATTCACAAGTAGTGATAAAACTGAGTCCACAATACTTAACAATAAGCGGGTACAGATATTTATTTAAATACTCTTTTTTACCATTATTCAATATTCTTAATAACAATTTTACAAAATTTTAAATTAAATCTAAAGCATCAACCTGTGCTCCCTTAAATCAAACTCAATCTTTCCTAAAACCAGCACTAATAATTAAATAAAATTGTGGAATTTCGTAGATATGTAGTTTGCCCACAATGAGCCTGTTCCACTGCCAATGGTATTTATTGTTTCACTGAAGAAATAACATGCCAAAAAATATTTATATTGGTTAATTATTCACGCCTCGGTATATTTATTTCAACGTACGACAGCGATAGCAGACCACCGGTGTTGTTATGATAACACGAGCGCAGATATTAAGTGATACTAACTAATCAAAACAGTAATATTATAATCTATACCGTCAAATTATGTCAGTTATTATAGCTGTCAAGAGTATCCGTTGGTATTTTATAGCAGGAATATAAGGATAAAAGCAAAGTCAAAGTAAATAATAAGATATTATGCTTTCACACGTCATGTGTACTTATTTAAGACACGTCGAATTTAATACAATTTTCTGAGAACACATTATCCAAAAAACATATGATACAATACAATCAATATTTACTAAAAATTATAACGTTGTGTTTAAAAAAATTAAATAAATGAAAAACTAACAGATACGAATAATTATTTAAACCGGTCGACCAATAATAATAGAAAAACTAATATTAATCATATCAGTATAACTTTGTGAATTGTGAATGGTTTTTATTACGTAGGTACCTAAATATTACAATAGCATGCTAATCCAAATCGACCCAACTAATATACCTACGGGATAATATTAATAAATAAATATGAGCCCAATATGAAAACATGCAGTAGCCATCCCATAACTAACTACAATAGTTGAGTCCAAAAATAAAAAGAAAAGAAAAATGATGAATAATTTTTCATTTTGTAATGATACTTAACTACTCGTGTAATTATAACATAACTTAGCCTGATTGCTTGTAATAAGAACTATATTATATTTCCTACTTGTTATGTAATATAATTTTTTATTGAATAAAAATCATAAGTACAACAAAAAAAAAAAAAATGCTCATTACTAATATGTGATCGTTATGTTATTATTATTATATACCTACGATAGGTTGTGTTGTATGAAGGTTAACTTGGTATTATTGGTTATCTCAGGTAAAAAGCGTAAAAAGGGAAAAAACAAAACCACACAAAGTAAAACGTTCAACAGCACAGAAAATACGAAAGAAAAATAAACCCACTGCCGATTAAAAACCAAGAGGAAAATACATTTTTATTAAATAAATATTATAGATAGATATATATATCCATATATTGTATACATCAGATATAAACATATAAATAAATATATATCTGTACATGAATATACCAAATATAAATATATATATATTAAAACAATATTTGTTAACTATAGAAAACCAGCTAAAAAATTAATCAAAAAGGCATCAATTCGTAGACAAACAAGAAATTTGATTTAAGGAGAATTTGAACGTACTTGCCCGTCCGACCATTTGTATAGCGCGAACGCCTTTCCGGAATGTCGCCACTGTGTTAAAATTAGAAAAAAAAAACAAACAAAAATTGAAAACGTGAAAATTATTGTGTTTTATTGTCATTTATACGCTACTGAAAAACGTTTCATTAGTTTCAGTCCAAATATACACACAAAAAAATCTCACATTTTTAGTCACGTACATATAAAACCAGAAAACCTAATTTAGTAAAAGAAAAACAAATTTATATTTAAATCATCAATAATAATAATAATAATAATAAAAAAAAAAAAAAACATGGGATTGTAATTTAGTAAGTATTCCAATGTTAGACTTGCAAAAGACATTCGTACAAGGTACACACGTATACTCACGAAAATAAGGACCGGAGGTTGATCGCATTGATTTAATTAATGCGTCCTTCAAATTTTAAAACATTTATTTTAAACACTCAAATTTATTAGTATTTATAACCAAAAAAAAAATCAATTATTTAGGAAAATTTTTCAAATTAAAATCAGACTAATATTACTAAATGAATTATTAATCATCAGTTTTATAAATATTACACATTTACAGATTTTTTTCTATTATCAACTTAAGCAGAATTTAATTTATTAAAGTTGCATTATTACGATATATACAATTGATTTATATTTACATGAATATAATTTAAATAAATAAACTTTAAAATTGCTGACCACCTTTTAATAGAAATCTTAATTAAAATAGATTTAATTATACAATGTTTATGTTATTTTTTATCAAATGCGTATAGTTATATACTGTACAATCGTACCAAATACGGAATTAACCATTAATACAATTCTATAAATAGGTAAAATATTTTTTTTATTTTTTAAATGACCTTGAATAAATAAAATAATAAAAACGTGTTATAAAAGCAATTTATTGATCAATATTCCTGAGAATAAACATAGTGTTATTTCACTTGCATACATACATTATAATTATGTAATTGTAAATATAGTGATTGAAATTTTCTATTCATAAAAAAATTTCAATACAATTTAATTTTAGGCATGAAAGTAATAATTGAACTTTGGGGTAGTGGAATATATGTTAAACAACATTTTAAATATCACAAATTTCTTTATAAAGGTATGTGTAATGCATAATATATAATATTTAATTAAAATAATAGCCACTTGATTCAACGCTATCGACATCCGGACCTTATTCCAATGACATTATGGCTAGTTAAAATTGTACAAAAATAATTTAGAACTCAACGATATTCGAATGATTACGAAAAAAAAAATTATATTATAATATATATGAACGTAATGTTATAATAATATGTTATTGTTAATTTATTGAAATTGTTATTGACTATGTATTTATGGACGTATTCAGGCAAGCGGACTTCAAAACACAAACACATGTAACTTTTTATTTTTTTTTTCTTAAATTTTTATAAGTACCCTCGAAATTATAATTATGTGCCAACATTCCAGTCTCCATCATAATCATACCGACATCTGTAACATGGTGTCTCTCTCTATAATACTCGAACGTAAAAGTAAACAGTTTATGTAATAAATAAATAAAATAAAATATAACCAAATCGGGTAATACTAGGTTTTTTTTTTAATTTTAGTTTAGAATATTTCAGATATAATCGTATTTTTATTTGTTGATAATAATAACATGTATTAAAAATGTAAACAAAAAACTATTACAGGTAGTGTAGTAGTCCTGTTGTTACATTACATGCAGCATATATTATTACATAGCTGTGTAATGGAAGAAAATAAAATTCTACGATATGTATAAAAATAAATAAAATATAAAGCTGCTTAAGCTCGTAAAACGTGTGATCGTCGTGAGCGGTATTCAGGTGGTGGACAAAAAAAAATAATAATATGTATGTATATGGCTTACATTTAATATATTATATGCACAACTTACAATATATATGTATATAATATTATATACATTTATATTGTATATTCATGTAAAATATTGATATATTATGTAGTTAGATAAATAATAATTATATGTGTATACATTTCCTTCTACATTGGAGTGCAAATGGACATAAGTGTTTTTGTTTTGTATTGAAAAACAAGTCGATTTAGTATGCGCCCGAACTTAAAGTCTTAATACACATAACAATACTGGTCGTTATTGCATAGTCGCGTGATTCGAATTTATGAATTTAATAAGTTTGTATTGCATTGTTCCGGCGCACAGTAAATCAGTCTACATCATCAGGAGATGGGTGGACTAAAGAAAAAACAAAAATAAACTTAAATGAAAGAATGAAAAAAAAATGTGTCTTTTTTGTTTATTCGCGAGGTTGCATTAATATGTATATGCATACATATATATATATATATATATATTTATATACATTAGGTATACAAATATACATAAATAATGAAGATAATTTATGTCGCATGAAAATAAATAATATAGAAACTTTATACTTAGATATTTATATATATATATATAAATATATATAAATATATGTATAGGTTTGTCGATCAGTGCATTTGATTCACATACACAATAGGATTGTAAAAGAAAACTATCGTGAATGATACTTACAGTTTTTGCACTTGCACTTCTTAATCAACGTTTCATCTCTAATTTCTTCATGACATGCCTTACAGTAATACCAAGCCCTAAATGTACATAAATAATAAATTGATAAAATTATACTTTTCAAACATACAATATTGAATAATTATTTTATTTTTTATTCTCATGGTACATCTTTAACTACTAAGGTTATTAGTTAACAAGTTTCGTACTTAATTAGAATAATTATTGTTATAGTATTTTTTAAATTAAATTCTACCATTAGCGTAGTGGTATGCTCTTTTAACAACGAGTTTCTATTTTAATTATCGTATGTATTTACAGTATAACGTTTTCTATTATAATATGAAATTAAAAATTGAATTTAAAGATTTAATATTAAAAAAGTGCGTTTTATATTATATTATTTTAAGTGATCATCGATTATTCTGATGTATATTAATTTAATCGACTCTTGAAATTTGAATATCTAATCTTATTTTGAAATATTTTTATTTAACTCACAACACAAACACAAATTTTTATTGTGTTAATTACAGCTAAAAAAGTTACTATAATTAAAAACACAAAATTATAAGTAAAAAATTTGTTTTTTACTTCGATAGTGAACGTTATTTTTAAATCTTTATTGATTACTCGTTTTATTAATAATCAAGAGACATTAAAAGCCAGGATTTAAATATCAATGTTTCCATGAAAGTTATTTTATAAAATACGTTCTCGTATGTAAGAATACATTTTTTGAATAGATTTTTAAAAATTAATATCGTCAAACCAATGAAAAAAAAAAAAAATTCTATTTGAGTACAATTGATACACAACGCGTTTTGGCACGCCTCATAGTGAACCGTACAAACCTTTTGACTTCGTCAGCTGACTGAGCAATGAAGAACCCCTGCGTGCTCGCCTGTATCTTGGAACCTCTGGGGTTTATCGATATCTTGCTGTCCCGTCCGTCTTCGCCTTTTATTTCAATTGCCAACAACAGAAGTTTCAGCTTCGTGAAGCACAACCTGCACGTTAAAACACGGACGAGCATTAGACGGATTTTTTTCAGAATCATAAGGAGTTATATGTGATTATTATATGTATATTTTTTTGTCAAAATTTGTGTCGGCTGTTGAAAAATAGATATAAAAATCATGCGCAAACCACACGAAAGCAAGCACGACGCAAGACAGCGATACAAAATATTATGCACCATGCATCCATGCCGTTATACGCGTTTAATAAACAAAATAATAAGCCATTTTTGTGCATGCTGATTAATGTTTTCATCATGGAGTTCTCGACCGATTTTTATAGTTATAAATAATAATAATTAAAATGTTAATGGCAATAATATTATATTCATTGAAATATTAATTTATCTATCATGCTGGGTTGTTTTAGCTGTTAACCTCACGTATACAGACTTAGGGTTGGAAATTTTATTCGTGACCTGGTATATTATACAATCATATATTATATAATATAAATATCATGATAAAAATTTTCAGAGGTAATCAGCTAACCCATAAAAACTATATTAATGTTAAGACTATTGAAAAAAAACTAACAAACAACGAATTTTATGATATATTAATATTTATTTATATGTAATATGTTTATTAAGTACGTAAAATAACTAAATTAATTTTATTATTCACAAGATATATTATGTATATGAATAATTTAAGTAGCGTGTGGATCAATGTTTAACGCGATATTACTTATACGTAGAAATTATTGTAATAAATGAGTTATTTGTTTAGTTTAATATCTTTCGACAGATATCATGAAACGTTAATTAATTAATATAAAAGTAATAAATATTTCAATAAATTATCAATTAAAATATTTTTAAAGAGAAAAATTTTAAATATTTTTACAAATAATTAAACGCAATTGAAAAATGTTTAATACTAAAACAAAATTAAGTGAAAAAATTATGATAACTATATAATATAATATTATTAATTCTCGAATATATTTACGTATTTTTTAATAAATATAATTATAGATGAATAAATTACAATGTATTACTGGAATAACAATATTGTTTTTGCTAAAATGTCTACCATATAACAGTATATTGTTAAAAATTAATAACTATTTTTTTTTTTACATGCAAATACCGTGCTTTATACACACGTACGCGGTAGACGATATTATACGTAACATGTATTTATAATATGGTATTGAATTTCATTGACACTTAAAAATACATAAAAAAATAAATACAGAGTAATTCACCTATCATTGTCACCCTTTCTCTTTATCCTTTAATAGCGCATTTATACAAATTGTGAATTTTAGAATTTTTAAGTATATTTAAAGACCATATTTTTCAAAACTTATATTTTTAAACCATTTAAGATGCTTCCAGAAGCGATAAAAAATTATTTTAATTTTAAAAGATGATCAACCTTATTCATTATAAGCTTTTAGAAGATTATTTGCTAAGAAATATTAATACATTTTATTAAAAATATAAACGAGTATTTTCTACGTTATTTATCTCTTTAAAACCAAGATAAAGATAATAATCATTAAAATATAATGTTTTGAAATTAAATATAGTATGCAATGTATAGTTTGGTACGTCCTATCATACTCGATCAATTTTAATAACCATAAAATACTATACATAATATATCAATACTAAAAACTATAATTTTTAATTTATCATACCTCCCATATCGTTAAACCTATAAATAATTATTAGTGCATAGAATTAAATAACTGAGAAACTAGAGTTTAAATTTAGATTTGCATTAAAATAAAAAATAAATAAATATTTATAGCAATTTTTAATAATAAAAAAAAAAAGTATAGTTCTCATTTGAAATAAAAAAGTTTGTATAAACATAGCTTATTCATTAACTGGCATACAAATTACCAAATCTTTGAAAAAATGGTCTTTATTAATTGCATATACTTACTAATTCAAAACATCAGACTTTTCATAAATTTATCATCAAAGGACAAAATTGGGGTGAGCATGCTTGATGAATCACCGTGCATATAAAATATCCTATATTATTTAAAATAAAAATTTAACAAGACTACTGGCAGCAGAACTACCAACATCATGCTTCGTTACATCGAGAAATAAAGAATAAAAAATTTAAAAATATTTTAGACTCTTAATAACTTGGATATTATTACGTCAGATATATTATATATATTATTATATATATATATATATATATATTATATATCATTCATTATTTTAACTAATACATTTTCACCACACGCTACTAACACACCGGACGCGGTATTATCGGCTGAATTCGCAGTTCGGGAAAAAATCTTATTACGTATAATATTCAAATGGTGAAAGAATAGTTTTCCATTTTATAAATGATCATTTATTTAATTACCGACTATTAATTACAATAACTGAATAATTATATTAAAATACTATTACTTGAAAACTACAGATTCTATAAAAAAAAAAAAAAAACAGAATTAATTTTTTATTTTAGATATTGTTAATCCGGATAAAAAGTACAAAAATAAGGTCTATACAAGTCTGGTTTACAAAGCTATGGACGAAATCCGTTGTTCAATTACCAGTATACTATACTGTTAACTTATAATTTACAAATTTTACTTTTACTTTAAGTTTATATTTGACAGTTTTCGACAAACTTAATATGTATAGGTAATAGGTATATAACATATATTTTAATATAGCAACTCAAAAAAATTGTATATGAAAATAGACAATTCAAATATTGTTATATATACTGTAATGAAGAAATGTCCACGCCGTGGAAATTATATCGATAAGTATAATAAAATAATACTCGTATATTATTATAATTTATAATTATATAAAATATATGATTAACTGATATTTATGAGCCATGAATATGGAAAACAGAATATAATTATATGTGTTTTGGGATAACGATGGGTGTAATTAGATGATCATGATAAATTCAATTGTCAACATTTAAACTTTTTTTTTTTTTTTAACACGATTTCGATTTATTTTTTTGATGATTTTGTATCAACGTAAAAGTATTTGGAATAAAAGACTAAATACAGATTGTAGATGACATTTTATTTCCTCATATCGTTTAATACGTAGATATTAACCTGTACGAGTATACTATTAATTACTTCGCGTGTATTTTTATACCTGCATACATACATACAGTGCCGACCTGGGAAATGGTAAAAATATGAATTTCTGTCGTGGAACGAGCTTTAAATTATCATTTTAAATATTAATTCTAATGATAACCCGTTAAACCCCAATTACGTACTTCGGATCAAATCGGGTTGAAGTTTTATTTTCACAAACGGCTATATTTCAAGTGGTAACAAAAAAAAAATTGTATTTTCACGTGACATAAAAATTTAAATGTAAAATAAGAATCACTCATCCGATTTTTTTAAAAGTACTTTCCATTTTAACGCGACCCTAGTATACTGCACAAGTGTACTCTTTCACTGTTTTTTTGACCTTTTATTACATGTTTGCACTCGTTGGTCTACCGCATTCATATATGTTTTTATTACGTTCACATAGACACCTATTGAATATTGCCGATGCAAAAATGTTTAGCTCAGAACCGTGTTGAACCGATACCGCGTCCAATATAATAAATAATATTAAACTATTTGTATAATATATATAGTACAACTAACGACTAATCCAGTGTTACCCAACCTATGGGATTACCACAAAATTCATTTGACCCGTTAAAGATATTATTAATTTAAAGATTAAATTATATTATTATATAACAGTGCTTATTACAGTTTAACAATATAATAAGAATTATTTTTTTTACGTTTTGCATGGCAGAAGATTCTAACTTACAGTGGATCAAATAGTTGGGGAACACTGGTCTAACCTACTGAAATAATAATGATAAATACTATATAACAAAAAACTATACATATATTTATAAAATGTTTGTTATAATAAACGTTAATGTATTATCTATTATTGTTATCATATTCAGACTAAATTAAAAAACAGCTCTGCAGGAAATCTAATAATAATATATTAAGTATAATATATTTATAAACGTATTTTGTATAGAGTAAGGTATGTGTAATGTATAATGTATAATTATATATATATATATAGACGTGGTGATCCAATTAATTTCTGGTTACAATCGATCTACGAGTTAAATTTTATTATTTTAAAAGTAAAAATGAAATTATTATAACCATATTTTACAAAAATAATTTTTAGATTTTAAATTTATCAATAGTAAACTTAGTATTCTTATTTTGTAATAGGAATAAGAATAAATATATTTTATTTTTTTGAATATGGCCGTTTAAATTTTAGTCGAACTGAATAGTCAATCATCATTTTTTCAAGATATCCTATATTCTACACATAATATAAATCTATTAATTTAATAAAAAAAAGTATTTTATTTAGTAATTAAATATCAAGAAATTTTAAAATTTTAAAAAGTTTTAAGATCAATATTTATAAATTAAAAATTATGGGTTGTCATAAAGAAAAATTATAATAAATAAAATCACGTCAAAAATATATTAAAAAAATGTTTTTTCTTAAAACTTTACCTATCATAAACAGTATGTTTTTCATATTAAAAAAAAAACCTTTTTCAAATTATTATTTTTACCAGTTAAATGGATCAGCTCGTATATCATAATATTATGTGAATATTAAGTGGGGATGACAGAAAGTGATTTCTGGTTAGAAGTGTAGTAATATGTGTAAGTGTATGTATGTTTTTGAACGTGTTATCTAATGTATGAATATGTGTATGTGTGGCTCTAGGAGGGACTTACTCGCTGGCCTGCGGAAACGTCATGCCGGTGAATGACGGGGATAAGGTCTCCGTATACATCTCGCAGCCGGTTCCTTGCAGATAGTCGTTCTGCCACGCTTGCGTATCTGGAGACTGAAATACACCAAACTCCACACTCTTCACAGGAACTATACACGGTATCAAACGCTCTATCACATCTCTACTCTACATCACATTCATCGGGTCGCAGACCGAAAATAAAAACAAATGATAGAAAAAAAAAAACAAACAAACAAAATCAAAATCAAAATCAAAAAATCGTAGGTATAACAAAAAAAAATAAAAATGTGGAAAGTATAACAAAATTATAAATCATAACAATAATAATTTAAACAAAAGGTGTGGGATAAAAAAATTTCTGGAATTGGATATGTTAAATAATATATTATATATTAATATGAATTATGATATATTTTTATGATTTTTTTTTATTTTTACATAAAATTTATATAATTATAGTTATATATAATATTATTAAAATAATAATATTTTCACGAGTTTTATCAAAAAATAGAAGGAATGTTTATAATAATATAATAGATATTAATGATATAGGTATCCAATGCAAAAATAATATTTCAGCACAAACAGGTGTGCGAGTCACGTTACTATAATATTATTATATGAATTTCACAAAATACACTACGTTCAATAAAAGTCGAAAAAATATTTTTGCTTTGTTCATCGGAAATCGAAAACTGGGCATCTATCAATATAAAACAAACTTGGATATATTATATCCGCGAGTAGATTCGAAAATTGCCACATAGTTATGCGGTATGTCTTTATAAATATAATATCACCGAATGCAATACTGATGTTGAATATTACTTATTCGGTCGAACGTAAAACAATAGTATTTTCCTGATCCAGTAAATGTAAAATTAGTTTGGATTTATAGTTCCATGGGAAATTTACTACGGTCTTTCCAATCGCAACTGTTTCAAAACCTTTTGATTTTAATGCGAATATAATAATAAGGAGTAGATATATGATATTATTAAATGCATAATCAAAATGTTTTACTGCACAACAAGTAAGATTATTAAAGTTTTTGGATAGAGGTCAAAACGATAAGTAAAATAAGTATCTAATTACATAAAAAAGAAACAAATAAGTTAATAAAAACAATAATATAAAAAAAAAAAATATAAAACCGAGAGGAACAGTAATGTATACGATGTGCTTCGAGTTTTGATAATATTATTTACTAAAATCTATAGGTACACATATTATATTATCTACACTCTACTGAGATCAATCTATAGGTATGATACACGATGATATGTATACATATGAATATTTTTGGCGTTACGCAGTTTGTTTCGTAAAGTACTATAAAACATATGGTCATACCTATACAACGTGTATTATATTGTACACTCGCGCATTATATAGACTGATTAAATATTAAAATGTTTTCCCTTTCATTTTGTTCAACAACGTATACATTTTTCAAGTGGTCACGAAAATCCATCATGATAAAAAAACTAAAAAATCAGGACGTGAGACCGTCCACCATATCAGATATAAAAATGACAAGCCAACGTACGCGCATACGTGTGGCGTGTACGACGCGCGTACGTACGTGCAATAATAATAATAATAATAATAATAATAATAATAATAATAATAATGGTAATAATAATAAATATTTTAAGACAACAACAACAACAACAACAAAACAACAACAATAACAAAATAACAACAATAATAATAATAATGTATTATAAATTTGCAAGCTGAATGTTTTTTTGAAAATCTCGCAAAACAGCAGTGTTTTTTGCGCGTTGCATTTTTTTTTTTTTTGCAAAACAGGTACGTTTATTCTGATTTTTCAGCTGCGTGTCAAGATGAAAAAAGAGCCAAAAGCGAATCTAATCTTAGGTCGTTTTTATTTATTATTATTATTAATTTCTTTCGTTTATATCACGTACACAAAATCAATACAGCCATCGTTTTTAAAAACAAAAAGAAACATTCAAAGAGTCTCTACTCGACCACAGAGTCAACCGAATTATACACATTGGTTAAAAACAATATGCACTACACAATGCTACTTAGTGCTCGTTGCATCCAGATAAGAATATTTACGAGATAAATTCCCGAAATAACATGACAGAAAAAAAATCTGTATTTTTCATATCAATTTTCTTGCAAAAAAACAAATAATAAACAATCAATCCGTCATACTATTCTAAACAGTTTTCTAAATTACAAGTAAGCCAAATCACAAAAAAAAAAGTACTTGATTTTAGTGTACATTTTTATTAAAATATTGGAAAATTTTCTTCTAAGTTTTATTTTCCCTGAAATTTTTATCCATCAAATATATTTCTCTCGAATTTGTTGATTAGATACTGCTCTGACGTATTTGCACTACATCACGCGTCGTTGATTCCAAATCGTACAGAGTAATACAATTTTATACTACAAACAACGAGCAATAACTACTAACAATATCGAATTAGTATTATTATTGGGTATTTGATTAATGTTTAGTATTACCACTAATGACTCTTACTGTTATTATGGAAATAGAAAATAACTATGTTAACATAATAGTGATAAAACTTGTATGTGTATCCACTTGTATACAGTGTTGGGTAAATTATTTTTAAAAAGTCATAAAATGCCATTAAACATTACAAATCTATTTTATTTTGATTATTTTTACGTCACATACACTTTTTATCAGATCTCATTACTCTATCATTTGAAAAGTAGGGACAATGAACTTAATTATTTTTTTCAATGTGTAAAAATACTCTAAAAGTTTTTAACAATACGAAAAATTAGGAAATTCATTTTATTTTTTTATAAATAAAAATATTGGTGATATAAATTATAAACTTAAAACCTCCTTCTTATCCAATTTTTCTAAGCAACCTTAGTTTTTTATATACATCTATACCTAATATTATTGAATAACGTGATATATAATGAGTTAAATTCATGGAAATAATATTTTAAAAATAATTTTGTAACTTGTGTCTATCAAAATGAAATTACTGCTGCAATACTGAAAAAGTAATTTCCTCGTAGTATTTATTTATTAATTACGTAACTATACTCAACACTGTTTATACAATATTACAGTATTCCGTAGTCCAAGTAGAGCCCTTTTGAATGTCAATTTATAAAATATTATTGAAATAAATCAATGTTGAATAAAATATTAAAATTATGCTGCAGATCGTAGATACGTATAATATTAGAGGCGTACGAAAAAATAAAAATAAAAAATATATAAACACGTGGGCATACAACAGACTTGAGATGCACAAAATCATGTACGATTTCCGAAGAATAAAAATTTGAAAAATAAATTTAAAAAAATAAAAAAACAACAAAAACAACAACAAAGTATCGGCCGCCGGTACAATATATTGGACACGTTATTTAAGTCCACTTACTCAGTGGCATGCGCAAACGGCATGCCAATGAATGTCGGGCTCAGCGTTTCGGTATACATCTCCATGCCGGTACCGCGCAGATAGTCGTTCTGCCACGTTTGTATAGCATCCGGTGCCACGACGCACCTCGTGTTCTGCTAACAGACATCGTCTAACACGCTTATTCACCACAACCGATAAAATTGGGTTCATTTTTTGTTTTGATTTTTAATATGATTAGGTTCATTTTTAAAATAGTTGATCGCACACGCACAAAAACGTTCTAACACACAGGAGAAAAACACCAAAAGTACTTAATAATGTCAGTGCAGGCATAATAATATTATATTATTAAACAAATATATAATTTTTATCATTTGAATTATAATGATATGTAGGTTTGGACGAAGATAGCTTAATTTGAGTTTATAGAATTTAACAACGGATCGAAAACATATTATTGTTTTAATATTGTTACGCATATCAATCTCGATATCGTGAATGGTAAACGATGTACAATAACCATGTTATAACGTTTTATTTTCCATTAAATTTTTTTTTTTTTTGTTTACTTTGGTTTCGTCTTTCTGAATGGACGTGAGCGCGTGCGCGCGACAAGAGTTAGAGAAGTGTTTTCTAATAAGCTCAAGCATATTGGTTTAGAATGACTCACCGTTTTGAATGACCTCATGGCGAACAAATTCGCCATCATTGTGGAAAAGCCTGGTGCTAGACAACTCTGCGCAATGAAACCAAGTTTCAACTCCGCCAAGCAGATCACGTCGTCTCCTTGTTTCCAGTCCCACGACGGAATGTTAAGTAAATACGCCTGTCGACCAAATCAAAAACACAATTGTGAGAATTATACGAATTGACGAAAAAATAAACAACCATTTCATGAAATCAAATCCAGCTGACATCTAATGATTATTAAGAACCTATCGCAGTTATCGCACTGCCAAAATGGTTTTTATACCATATATACTTTCATTTAGCCGTAAGGTAAATTGATTCGCTTTTGATTTTGAGATCCATATAATCTATTATTAATATTTAAAATAAAATATGCAAATATATTTATAATAAAAGTATAAGTTACCAAGATTTTATTAAATAATAACTTAAAAAAAATATATATTTTATTTTCTCAATATTCATATTAAAAATGAATAATAACAATAATACGTAATGAATAAAAAGTTTTTTTATGTATTGACTATTGACCAACAAAAGAATATTTTATAAACCACAAGCTCAAAAGTATAATGAATATCAAATTAATTTAAATAATTGATATAAAATGTATATTATAATATTAAATAAATATATTCATGAAAAGTAGGAACCAATTGAACTTACTTATTAAAATACCTGATTCTAATGAAAACCAATTCGGAAACTTTTTAAAATCTGCTCTTGGCCATTTAATTAATTTATACCATATATCATAAATACCAGTAGAATGGATAAGTCTAATCTACGGCGATGACATAGTAAACGTTAGATATCACTGAATTTATCTAATCTAAACAACCCTTTTGCTCCGTATAATATTTGATTCAATAATTTTATTTTATGATTTATACTCACTTTATTGTGATACTGCATGAGTTGTATAATGACCCTTATATCGTCCGAGTAATTTTTGATAGAAATGACCCTCATTATGTTCGCAGCGTCTTCGGCGTCCGGGTCCTGGCAGTATTTGTTTGCCAACACCAAACAGGCATCAGCCTCGTGGACCTGAAACGTCATTATCGGTGTTTTACCTCATAATCTGGTTTTGATACACACACACACACATATATATATATATATATATATATATATATATATATATATTGTATGTATATAATACAAATTACAAAAATAACAATATTGTTCGCGTATATCGAATATAGTTATTACTTTAAGTTTAACTTGTATACGTTAAACTTAAACACTAAAGCTCATTTTCCAAAAAATAGTATAATAATATTATTTAATATTATAATGAATTCAGCTACAATAAAACACACGCATGCATTACATTATTATACTATTAGCACACAATACAGAAAACACATAAATACCATGCTAACAACAACGGACAACTATGATTACGGTAAAATATGTCTACAGTACTACACAACGCGTATTATTAACATTATTATTATAATTATTATTACTACAGTTATTATTATTATTATTATCATTGTCATATTGTAGTTTATAAATAAACTATCAAATTTTCAATTTATTTACACGTTGCGTTAGTACAATATGATTTTACAAAAACGTATATGAGAGAAAAAGAGAATAATAATATTATAAAATAACGCGTTGCGAGACAATTTGCACTACTGTGTAACAAGTACTTAATTATATATTATCATAATATATGTTCAAATAATACAACTAACTATGCGTTTATTGTATGATTTTATTATGAAACTATGTATAATTTAATAATATATAATTAAATATCGATGAAATGAAATGATGCGTTTTTCGGGCATTGAAAATGTCTTATTTTGTCGAGTACAGTAAAGTATAAGTATACGTAAAGATCGTCTGATCGGTTGTCGTACATGTTTTTTCTTCTCAGTATAATACAATTTATAAAAGCATGCGCTGCTAAAACGAATTTTAGAAAAACATCATACTTATAAACAAAACAAAAAATAAATCATATAAAACACAGTCGTCGTTTAGTGTTAAATATATTAACAGTTCGGTTCGTTTGATTATTTCGAGCTATGTGAGCATCGAGTGAAATGTTTGTAAGTTATATATATATACATATACACTTATATATATTACGTATTATATATTATGTATAAATATGTATATATAAGTATACATGTATACATATTTATTTTTATGTATATATTTGTTTAAATCACAAAAATCCATCACCAGCGTCATACCAATCCAAAAATTGCAACCGTCATTCAATTTGTGCTAAAGCCATTTGTTTGGACATACCTTTACCCTTTGCAAATCAATAGGGTTCATTATAGAACCTTGGAAGAACTCGACAGTGGTAAAATGTCGCTTGAAAAGTCCTTCCAGTTCCAGGTCAGGTGGCTTCCTACGGTTTGGAAAATACCAAAAATAACTAAATTGAAGCACAACTAATACTGACAAGTCTTCTATATATTGCACACTGTATCGTAATTATTTATAATATAAAATATCATATAAATCAAGTATAAACAATATAAAATCTATGCTTTAGAAATCCGTTCAAGTATCTAACTAGTTACTAGGTGGTAAAAACAGGTACAATATTTATCAATAGACGGCTATAATATAAACGCTATATAAATTATAAAATTAATAAATCTTATTTTTCTTTTTCTAGTGATGTTATTACAACGACAAATGGGTTTTTATATTTCTGCCAATTTAGACCTGCACGCATGTATAAAATATATATGTATATATATATATATATAAACTATATATAAACTATATATATATATATTATAAAGACAGTGTATTGATTTCAGAATAATCATTTTTCCAATACTAAACTACTTTCCTTTTGTATAAATTATAAATAGATGTAAAACAAAAAACTCATCTACCTAATTCAAATAATAATAATAATAATAATAATAAAAAAAAAAAAAAAAAAAAAAACATTACCATCGTCAAGGTCTGTTCAAGTTCCCGTCCTAAATGTTTAGTATTTGTATTTATATATAAGTATATATATATATGGGTGTATATATATAAATATATAATAAATGACAGCTAAATACATGGTTCAAAGCAAAATACATTAACACTTTACAGTTTCAACGGCTTTGTTATAGTCTGTACTAATATGTAAATACTGTTTGATCAAGAGGCTTAACAAATCTAAATGACGATAATAGTTAATGTTCGGTGTAAATAAATAAAGGAATATATTTAAAACAAAATTTATGAATAATAATATAATATACGTATATCTATATATAGGTATACATTTATATATTGTATGTATTTAAATATTGTACATACATATACGTATACATAGTAATTTTTTTTTAAATTAAACACTCATTTTTTTGAAAATTATTTTTGTTTTTTGAAAAATTTTATTTAAATAATTTAAAGTTACTTCATATCAATATAATTTTACAATTTTTCATTGTTATCATTTTATAATTTTTTGCTTTTTAAATGACTCCACACAATTTTAATTTTCTACCCCAAAACAGCATATTATCTGAAAATGTCAATACATTAAAAATATATATTAAACGAGTTTGGATCAATAAGTTATAAGTATTTTAAATTACACTAAACGGAGTAGTGGACAACATTAAGCACAACAACACTCCGCTCGTATAAAATTGAGATACTTATACTTAATTAATAACTGATTAGAAATTTAATTTTTAAGCATCAAAATTCTCAGAAAAAATATTTTGTTTTGAAATATTATATTATCTGTGCAGTTATTCTAAAAAAAACAAAATACTTCAAATACCTACTTAACAATAAAAAGTGATAAATATAATTGTTTTTCAATTTTTTTTTTTTTTACTTTTTTTTTGTTATAACTTTAAATTATTTAAAAAAATGTTCCAATAACATAAATGGTTTTCAAGAAAAATAGTGTTGCACTTTAAAAAAATCAACTTGTATATAATAAAATACCTATACACAATATATAATTATCTATCTCTAGAACTAATAAGAATTGTTTCTATTTCGTATCAGACTACATATAGCTGTTATAATAATAATAATAATATTGATCTATGTATGGAAACTGAGCACAAATCGATAAGAAAAAATGTCGACAGTAAGAATCAGGATGAGAGTGGGTATTTACCTTCACCCTCTCTAGATCTACTGCGTTCATCATTGTACCCTGAAAAAACTCGACAGTGGTGTAGTGACGTTTGAGCAGCCCTTCCAATTCTAAATCTGGCTCTTTTCTGCAAATTACACACAACGTCGTACCTAATTTTTCGACTTAAAAACGTTTATATAGGTATATATTATTATAATGAAATACATATACATGATCATATATTATTATAGCTTGGCAGTAAAGATCTAAAACGTGATTTCAACAGATAAATTGTGTCTCGAATTTTTTTTTAACTATCGTTCAGTATTTATCATTTATGATTTTTTGACATTATAATTATTTTAAATAAATACAATATTTTATTAAAATGTTTTGTCATACCTGTGTAAGAATACCACTTCCACGTCTACGTCCTCTCTGTCTTCATGTAAAAAATCTTTCAGAAAATGCGACACTGACTCGTAAGTGATGTGTCCACAAACGACGATGTGCCTATTTTTATAAACATAAAAATATATTAACGCACATATTTACGTAATTCTAAGATAAATAATAAAGATTAAAATAAAAATTGATCAAAATAAAAATAAGAATTAAAAATATTGTATATGCACCGACGAGGGGCACTACGAACAAATCCTAATAAAACAGTCAGGATAAGACTACGTTATGTATTACGTTAATATTATATATTTAAGCATGATGATTACTCGGGTGAAGTGCATTTTTGATAAATAAATAATTAAAAACAGGATATAACTAAATCAAAAAGTACGAATTTGTTATATGTATATTGTATATTGTATAAATGTATCATATGTTGTGTGATCGTTACATTCTGTAGAGATCACACAGCTTTTGAAAATAAATTGATAATAATATAATTAATAATTTGTCAAAATGCTTTAAAAATGTTACATTGTTTATGTGTTTTAATTTATGTTTTCCTAAAAATATAAATAAACATATAAACAATAACTTTATTGATACATTAATTTTACTATTTTGTCATCGGTATAGACACTACGGATATAAGCGTGTTTACTGAATATGTTCAAACTACATAGTAATAATAATAATAATATAGTTTGTATATTACAATCAATGATATTTACATTAATATTAATATTTTTGGTAAAAAAAATAGGGTTCAGGCATAATTAATAATGTTACGTGCAGTTATTTTAAATAAACAACAAAAGTTAATGCACATATACACATTACTATATGTATACGTTTTTTTTTTCAAATTTAACCTATTAAATTACGAATTTGTGTTATTCATGACATTTTAGCCACTCAACAATTGAATTACATTTAATTTAGCAACTCGGCACGGTAGCTAAAGTTGCGTGGTAATCCGTAAACAGTGTACCTATGTATCGTACTTAGATCGTACAATACTCGTATTAGGTACTGCCTGTGTATACATATATTATATGAATAATGTAAAACGATCGTATCATATTAAATATTATAGTACCATGTTGTGATGACAAAGAAGAAAATTATTTTAAAATATAGAAAAACGTGCTTTAGTTTAATTGACGCTGAATATCGTAGGCCTATAAATCCGTAGAAAAATATTGTTTGAAGCTTAGTAGAAAAAAAAAATAAAATAAAGTACTTAATATTATATAAAGGTGTATAAATGCTAATAATATATATATATATATATATGTATGGTATGTAAAATATTACCTCCTTCCACGTTCATTCTTCAGGGTTCCTCCATATTTTGGTCTAGTTCCGATCAGGTCAATTATCTCGGGTATACAACTCGCAAAAATCGCCTAAGGAACCCCAAATCATTCAAGGATAGTTCAAAATTTCAAGAAACATACATGAGAAAATTGCGCCACGTTATAATAATTATTAGAACATATATTATTATCATATAAGAACCTATTTGATTTTTTTTTTTTTTTATATGGTATTCTGTGAATGTTTACATTTGCTCGTACAAATATATATATTATTTTGTATTTATGTGTAAATAAGTATGTGTGTGTGTGTATGTTATATATATATATATTTGAGTGTGTGTAGTTGTATGATCTTTGACAGCATTAGAAGAGTGCATGATGACAGACGCTTACTGAACAAAATGAGAACAGTTAGTCGGAAGCATTCGGGTAGGATCGTTTAAGTTACGTTCAGTATGCATCTGTTAGAACCAAAATAAAGCCCATATTTTATAATAATATTTTAACTTTTTTTAAAACGTTTTACGGTTAAGTATATTTTTGTTTTTTTTTTTTTTTTGAGATCATATTGTCAGTTTTTACCGCCAATAATAATACCCTAGAGTTATTGTATTTTTGAAATTATAAAACAAAAATAATAAAAAAAAAAACGTACATTTAAAAAATAATTTTAATTAATTTTTTTTTAAGGAATAAAACACCTAAAGAGAGCACACCTAAAGAAACGTGGCTTGTTAGCGATCAGCAGTAACACTTTGTTAGGTATTTACGTAAAAACAACTATAATACATCGTAATTTGAAATTATTTCTGTACAATTTCGATATAATTTCAATAAATTCACACTTACAAAACCTTATGAAATATTTTAGTCTTGTTAAAATAAGACGATTACATTCCAAAAAAAATAATATTCATGCTTTATATTTTTATTTATTTATTTATTTATTTTTTTTTTTTTTTTTTGTAATAGCTATTCTATCCTAGTTTTTTGGTTAGATCATGTGAGTGTATAATTATTATTGTTATGATTCATTCGGAAATCTACCAACGAGCCAATGTTTCTTGGTGTACAAACAAAATAAAATGCAAAAAACAAAATATTAAACACACAACAACTCATAATAATGCACCTGCTATTTTAATGTTTTGAGTTTTAAATAATAATAATAATAATAACAAAAAAAAAAAAATAATAATAAAAATAAAAATGAAAATAAAACTGTGTGGCGGAAAAAACTGTTATCTCATTTTAGGCACCCTTTTGTCAGCGTCTTAAAAATACGAAATAAAATATAAAAATTAAACTACCTTTATTGTATCTAGTAAAGCACCTTTGCCCCTGTTTTTCTTTTAAAATCTATCTAGTTATCAAAATGTTAACTATATTTTTTTTTTCATGACGAAAATAAAATATTTTAAAAATATATATCCGCGCCGAGTTGTTTAAAAACAAAATCTAAACTTTTATTTTAATTTTAATTATCCAAAAATAATATTACAAAAATAATTATAAATAAATTATTAGATAAATAAAATATAATATATGGTTAGATATTTTCTACATTTTTTCATGGCACGTAATATTCGAAAAAAATTAGATAATAATGCTTAAAAAAACAAAAATGTTATTCATGAGGAAAAGTAATATCCTATGACAATAATATATTGATATTATGTATATTATGTTTTTATTACTGACAAAACTAATGAAGCTATTAAGTGCGAATTCTACATGTATTGGGTTTGCAAAAAAAATAGAAAATAAATAAATAATAATAACAATAATAATAATATAACGAATCTAACATCTAAATTTTAGATATTGTTTACTATATATATATATATATATTCTAAACTATTTTTTTTCGACTATGTTAGGGAATATTTTGTTCATGCCACCAAGATAACTGATTTGGCTACGATGGTAGATGTCGCGTGATGTTTATGTGACAATGTATTTTCACGGCCTGGCTGAACAACAAACTAATATTATATTTTTAGCTTGAATCTCATATACACGTGACGATTACACCTACTAGTCTACAGATCAACATCTGTTTTTACGCTTGGCCCTCAGAAAATCACATTTTATTCCGAAACGACCGTTATGGCAGCGGCATGGCGGCAGCCGTTTCGGGAAATACATATCGCGCGTTTTACTATTATAATAGAAATAATAATTATCATAATAATAATAATAATAATAATAATAATAATAATAATAGTAATAATACTTAGTATAATAGTTTTAGTAATAATAATACTAATAGTTATAGTAATAATAATTATAATAATAGTTATCATGATGATTAGCATTATTGTATTATCCATAGACCACGGAAATAATAAATGAATTTCCATAAGTTTTAATTAATTGCTCATATTTTTTTTTATTTATTGTAATAATAACAATAATAACAGAAATCAAATAACAACAATTCGCATCAATCGATTATATTATTATTGTAGCAATTATTGTTGTTTTAATCGTTTTAAAATACATAAAACATGCTCCGAAATATTTAGTATAGTAATACAAACCATAACAGTATTAATTTCAAACCGTAACACTCGATAAAGGGCGTAAATTGGCATCTTAAATGGAAACACCCATAAACGAACGAGCCCAACGTTTTTTAGACGATTTCCGTTTAAAAAAAAAAACATAAAAAAATACATGTCCATAAAAATTGTATCGCAGAAATACTCCGTGAAAATACATTGTTCCCATTTTGCATTATACTCCAAATTTAAAAAAATAAAATATATATATATACATATGTATGTATGTATATATATATATTTATATATAATATGTTTAAAATTATAATAAATTATATAGCGTTAAGCGAACAAAATGCAATCTAATCGATCGTGAAAGACTAAAGGAAAATAGTATTAACCCCATCGAAGCGTATAACAAATGCGGTCCGAGTTGTTTCAGAAGATTACTTTTTTTTTGTAAATAACAAATAAAAAAATAAAAATATAAAATGATAAACATATACTATAGTATATAATATATATTTATATCATATAAAATGTGTAATGTACGAAATACGAAAAAAATAATAATAATTCATTGGCGATTCTTGCCTTCGCCTTTCTCGCTTGTACTCCCCACCATATCGCTTCCTGTTGCCAGCGAGCTCGGTGATTTCGGGTATCCAGCTTGCCATCACAGCCTATCACCGTTCGGTTAACAATACAATATTAACATAATATTAAAAAAAACCCCAAACAAAAATAAAAAAACAAAACAAAACAATAACAAAAAAGAAAAACAAATAATAATAATAATAAACATTATAATTATAACAAATCGTGAACATTTTTCTAAAATCGTGTGAGTGAGTGTATTTTATTTTTTTTTTTTTTTGCTCCCGTGGTCCGTCCGATTACGTCAAAAATGAAAAAACATCATCTATTAACGTGACAGTTATATATTAATATATATTGTAATAGTCGAGCAGTCGATGAGATCAACGAAACGCGTTGTCCATCGCTATTCTGAGTTCTACTCGAAAAGCCATTAATATCTTTTGAACGTAATTGTGTTAAGTCTAGGCCAGTTCACGACGTTAACCTATTTAACATTTTGAGAGAGAATGGTAGAAAGATAAAGAGGGTAGAATTAGAGATAAAAAGAGGGTAACTAGAGGTGGGGACTAGAGATAGAGAATAATGGATTGGCGAAATAAAGAAGATTAATTCCGACGTAACCGAAAGAACCGATTAATTATTATTATGCGTGTACATTGTAAGTACCGTATCGGCTAAACGTCAGGTCTACAACTAGTATAATATAGTATAGTATATAGCCAAATAACCATAAAACATTTAACATGAAAACGACATTGCAATCATTTATCAGTGACGCGCCAAAGACGTTTTGTCGTCGGTATCGCCCCGGCTGGTACGACGACCGCAGCAAACCCCTGTGACCCATATTTTCTTTTTTTTATATATGTATATAAAAGTTTAAAAGGTTAATCGCACGTGGAGTTATACAATTTATTTAAACTTTTTTCATTGTGTATACAGACATAAAAACATATGTTATATTGTTATTTTTGTATATAGTATATAATCTTCGGTGTATATAAAAAATGTAATAGTATTAGCGTAGTTAGTGTTTTATTAGTGCATCTATACTTAATAACTTAATTTTCGTGAAAACCCACGTTTAGTTCATCAATTTACATAAAATAATATTCAATTTTCAAATCTTATTTGTGTATTACAAAATTGATAATAATATAACAATAATAATTAAATTTAAAAATAACTCCGAATAATATATTATACTGCTCATTAAAAGCAATAATAACTAAGAACATAGGTGGGTATTAAGTTTTTGATTTTGTGTTTATATTTAATAATCAAAGCCACGTTAAAAAACATGATTCTGACAATCTATACCTGCATAGAGTAAAAGGTCATTGATGGCTATTATATTATTATACAGCTTTTTTATTGTTTAAATGAAAATAAAAAATAATTGCACTTAATTCTTTATAACTATACATCGATTATTTACATTATCTTTGTACATTTCTAAAATAAAACCATTCAAATGATAATAATTTCTTTAAAATTCCCATTACAATATTATGTATTACCTTTTATTGTATATTAGTCCACATTTTGTGTTAACCTCAATGTTTTATGACCTTCGTGTTTAACTATATATATATGGTTCAAGTAAAGGATTAATGCAGCAGACAAAAATTATATTGTGAGATAGAAAAATAAAATAAACAAGGCAAACCAAGAATAAGAAAAAAATTAAAATTAAATAAATTACATGCAAATAGAGGTTTTTTCATCATATTAATTATACGTATATGCAGAAAATGGACGCCAATCGAAATAATAAAAAATCCCATGAAAAATTATAAAAATAATTATAACACGAGTATTGCCGGTTAGTTAAAAAAAGTAAAATGAAACAAAAATCAATTAAAAAAAAAAAGTCTTCATAAAATGTAGAATATTAGCAAACGCATGATGAAGTTAAAAATGTAATAATTGATATAATAAAAATTGTCTAAATAGGTGGCAGACAGAATTTAAAAAATAATTAAATTAAATATAATACTATACTGATGTATAATATTATATTATAATTTCCTTCTAAGGTGTTTATGTTGTATATACCTCTTTCCATGTTCACGTCTGAACTCTCCACCATATTTTGGTCTACTTCCTACGAGTTCTATAATTTCTGGTATGCTACTAGCAAATATTGCCTAAGTGATAATAAAACAAAATAGATATAAAAAAAAAAATAAAATAATAATGAATTTATATGTATTATAATATTAAATTATGTTAAAATATATTTATATATACATAATATATAATACATAGTATCTATATGATTAATAATGTCAATGTAATATACAAACTCATCAAGAACAATAATATGCAATAATAAAAATATATAATTCAATGCCATCGTATGACAAATTACAATATTATTGATATAAAATAAGTTATTATAGTATAAAGTTATGGTATAAAATAACTTTTTTTAAGCAAATATTAGCTGTTAATTAAAATAATTATACAGAAAAATTTAAGAACTCTATAATAACGTATACACACACACTTCCGTGCGGTTGTTATATATTATATTACATTATTTCATATTATGTATTGTGAGTTTTTATAGATATATACAAATAGACGTCACCTTATTCTCCTAAAATATGTCGTTCTACTATGATATAATAACAATAAAAAATATGATTGAATAAACTCCATGCATTGATATAATAATATTATATAACTTTTAAATGTTATATTTCGTCAACTGCAGTCATGTTCCACGATAAATGTGATAAAAAATAATTGATTCGGAGCGCCGTAACCGCCCTTGGCATTATAAACGACCCTGCAGTCCATGCAAATCCAAAGCTAAACAGCGCGAGCAAAATGTAAACGAATATTATTGTATAGCGAAATAGTTTAACGATTCATATATATTCAATAAGCTGCCAAGCATTTTAGCAGTTACCTTGACATGTCAATGTTAAATTTAAATATAATAATAAAAAGCGCCCAAAAGAAGAAAAGGCCTCAAGTATTTAAATAAAGCTAAACTATGTCAATAAATAAAAAAAAATGTTATACATTTTATGATGTATAAGTAATAAACTAAGTAATATTTAATATTAGTCTATTGATCTGTATTATGAGCTATTTTAACTAAAGTGGATATTTATTGTATAGTGAAATAGTAATAATAAAAATAAAATTATGTATGACCTTTTACTCCAATTTGTCTCTCAGAGGCAAATACCGTACGGGTGGGGAGGGTTAAACTAGAGCTTTTGTTGATGCTCATACCTACTTTGTAATGCTAATGTGTGTGTAAAAAAAATAACAGCCAGCTTTTTAGAGCTTTAAAAAAAAAAAATAATAGTAATAATAAATCTAACTAAAACAACGTGTATTATAGCGTTTTACCTGCTGAAAGCTTCTGCCACAAAAATATTATTCGTTTATTCTTAGATTAAAAAATAAATCTTTAAGTATAAATAAATATTAAATAATTTTGTAATTAGCGCAAAGTAAAAATAAAACATGTTTTTCTTATGATTGTAATTTATTATTTAATGTGCGTAAAAAAGTCCATATCATATTATTTAGTAATTTTTGTATAATAAAATTAATCTATTCGTTTGTTGTATTTTTTTATATTATCAATGCTAAATTCGAATATTAGTTATACTAATAAAGACGAATAGTACCTACTCATATACCGCCAAAACATATAATAAGTGACAACGGTAGATAGTATCATAATTTATATTTATTTTTTTTTAAATATTGCTAATTCATTTTTTAATACATTTTATTTAATTACATTTTATTTTATTCTATCTTTTGCAAGTATTACAATATTATCGCTCTCGATTGTGTAATAAAATCATGATTTAACCAAAAAATAACGACTTATTATACATATATAATATATATATACATATTTATATATATATATATATATTATACGTCCCTATATTCACGTGGCACGTGACATTGTATTTTAAGTGATTCTACTATTATATTTATTTAACACTTAATATAAACAAGAGGCAAATTACAAGAAATTAAAATTTAATATAATTAAAAAAGAAACATATCACTTACGAGGCCAACGAGTAGGAAAAATACTAGAAAAGTTCTGCCCAAAATAGTCTGGCAAAACACATCTCCGTATCCAACTGTGGACATGGTGACAATCAAAAAGTACACACAAGTCCAGTATGATAACCGTTGTTGGTTTTGGAACTCGAATGGATCTCCCGAGTTTTCCAGCTAAAATATTACAAAAATTATTTTGGTTTAATTATATATTTTTAGATGAAGATCGAAACTAAGAACATGTTTGATATAGAAGTTTAAATTGGTGGTAAATTTCCAAAACTTTGAGTGTTATATACGTATTTATTTTTTTTTATGTAAATTCTCAAACCATATATAAAATAAACATTAATTAAGAAATTAAAATAATTGGTTAATCATTGAAGTTAAACAAATTAATATATATACAACACATTGTTATATTATTTCAATTATTTTATATAGTTCTAAACGTTATTTTTATGTATAAATATACTATGAAAAAAACTGGCAAAGAAATAATAATACAGTGTTTAAATATCATGATACTCTTATAAGATATGACCTTTAATCGACGTTTATTTCAGAAGAAAATTGAAACATCGGACAATAGATAGACAATTTTATTGTAGCTTCCCTGGTTACTTTTGTAGGGTGATTAATTGTTTTTACAGTTAGAAAAAACAAAACAAAGCATACAAATGAATTAAATGATGCAATTTCAGTACAGTACTTACAAGATGGATGATTCCGGCGGCGGTCAACCACACGGATATAAAAATAGACACGAGTTGAGCAAGTCGAATTGAACTCGACGTTTTTAGAATGTTTAAATATTGCAAAATATCAGGCACTGTCATTAGGCGCAGAGCTCGGAGGAACCTCAGACCTAAAAAAACGCATAAATCTATGTATATTCTAAAGGTTAGAACGATAACAATAAATAATAAATCTTCGTCTATTATAAATTTAGTAATAAAACGATATTTGTTATAATAGTTTTCTTAAACTTTCATCGCACTCACCGATCCAAGTTCGACCCAAGTATATAGATAGAAACGACGGCGGAATCGTGAAATAGTCTACAAACGAGTACATTTCTAACATAAACCATAACTTATCACTGGCGGCTATAAACTATAAATAAAATAGAAAACATTTTAAAAATCCAAAGACATACATTTAATTGAAAATTCATAAATATAATTAATATAATATAGCATAATATTGATGGTTTCAATAAATTTCTGATTAGTTTAAACCGACATTTAATGTACAAGAATAGGATTACAATTTACTTAGCATTTAATAATTTTAGGACTCAGCGTATTGTGATACATTGTGTTTTTATTTTTTTTTAGCACCCAATAAAATTTTAAATTATTGTTAACTTGATGTAATTGCTTTTATTACTATTTAGTCCATAATAAACAAGAAAAGACAATAACTTTAGTCTAACGCAAAAACATTCAATTACTAACTTATAAGCTCTCATCAGTATTTCATGTTATTTAAATTTGTACTCATCTAAAAAATTGTCTATTATACGATGCATAAGTAATAAATTACACTATGCAAATTATTTTAATTTTACAACAGCCATAAAAATCAACAGGAAATTGCGTAGTAATAATTTTTACTATCGATCTAGGTAATATTATTTTAATTTTCTTTTGCTCATTTTCGTATTTCTTTATGTTAATTTTTTAATTATTATAGAACATTGATGTAAGTATAAAAAAAAAATACATTCCTTGTTCTTAAATGTTATTTAAGAATACGTAATAGATATGACAATACATACTTAATATAAATGAACAACAAGTTACTTCCTAACAACTAAATACAATTTAAAGACCTCTCAAATACTAGATTTTAAGTTTAATTTTTTAAACAACATTATTTGCTTTTCTTATGCCTTTTTAAGAAAAAAATTCGATTATATATCAATATTAAGAACGAACATACTTACTCTTATAAAATAATAAACCATAAAAAAAATATTGAACGCTAAATCTACTTGTTGAGTAACATTGTGACTCCACTTTTGGCATCGTTCAACCTCCTCACTGGAAAAAAATAACGGTATTTAAATGAATAAAAACCTTTGGAAGCTGCTGTACATAACTTGTGTTTTTCAACTTACTTGGAGGCGTCGATAAAATATATAATTAGAGATGCTATACTTAAAATGAACACAAGCACCACCTGAAAAAAAATAATAAGATTCATTAATGACAAAATGACAAGTCTGTTTGCAAGATATAATAGTATATTTTGACTGCTAATTTCTGCATCGTATGTAAGTTTTACTATACTCGAGTTTCGAATTCATTTTATTTTAACTGAATTATCTAAACGTATGTTTTATGAGTTACCAGAGTATTAAAGTTTATTGAAATTTAAATATATAGTGAAAACAAAATTTGTGAACTAGAACTCTGTTGCATTACATGTAAATTAGTTGGATCTAATTTCCGGTGGTCCGATACGAAATCGAGTGAAACATTGAAACCATATGTTTAAATACAATTTTGTTATTGGATTCACCATGTAATTTCCTTTATTATAATAATTATAGCAATATAATAACATTCGCCCCAATCGCCACCTGATTTGAGTCGGAAGTCAAAAGACGTGTTTAAGGTTTACTTCCTATATGTACATTTTTTCTGAGAGTGAACTACATAGTATATTCATATACGTGTTGTAAATTTCGTTGGCTGTCTGTATTAAAAATTGCCAACATTTAAACGCGTCGCAATCACTCATTACCCAACGGGCTATTCAAATTTTCTGTAAAAACTAACATAATAAAAATCAATTAGGTATTTTCAAATTCTCCACAGATGTGTGCCACAGGTGTGATTCATTGATTTATTTGCGAGTTTGATGAGTTATCCGAAAATGTTTTGTCTCGCCGCGCGAATATAATACTGTTATATTTATAATCATACGAAATTATTATAATAATGTGATGCATGGCGATGTAATCACCGAAATTGTCCATTATGACGTCGTCGAATGTTTTTATATTCATCATGTTTTTTTTGGTATAGTCTGCGATGTGAAAACATCGAAAGGCTCATTACAGACAAGCGACATCTGGCTGTAAAAATAAATAAATAAACGAATGTGCATTCGTCCGCTTAAAGACTACATGTCTAATTCCAGGGGTGACACATCATCACTGCAAAATACACCTTGTCATCGTGCCATAAATATAATAATGTATAGAGACATTGGTCGAAAATCTGAATTTATTATACGCCGATAACCGCAAGAACGTATTTTTAAATAATCATAAACATAACTTAAAATCAAAAATATTAAATTCCTTCATTGTATAAAAATTATATTACCTTATGTATGAAAAAGTCAATTCAAAATTTTAAAATATGCACACGATATACTATGAGAAAAAAATATTTAACACTAAAAAGTAATTGCAAATAGAAAATAATTATTTAAGTGTATAGTAAAACAAAATATTCTGTTAAACTGCGGCTGCTGAATACATAATAATAATGAACATAATGTAGTAATAGTTGATGTATACAATAAATAGTAGTTCATACAACAACACTGTCTTAAAAGTTCAAATCTTGTAGTATCCAAATCGTCACTAATATCAAATTGGTTTTTTTCTGATAGTGATCATTTTTTAACAAAAAAAATAATGATAATATATACATACATAAGTATACGTAAAATATTGAAATTTACAACATATTAGTGCAATATGCTGTTATACTCGTAGTATTACTTCTATAAATAAGTAGATTGGCATAAGTATTCAAAATGATTTAAAACTTGCAGTAAATTTGCATGTATCAAAATTTCATTTTTGCGACTTTATTAATATTGAAAAAAAAAAAAATGCAATTTTATAAACGAAACAAAACAATATTACAAACCATGTTTCATTTTATTGTGCATTGCAATGACTGATAATATAATATAACTGTTTAAATTCAAACGATAATTTCTTTTCTTTTCATAATGTATACGATTTTTCTTCATATCCGTAGTGTATGCATTTATATATAAACGATAATTTACATAATTTACTGCAAAGTTCAAGGTAATTTCGTGTATTATATAGGTTTACGATGATTTAAAATGACCTCCTCCACAACCCCACTCACACAGTTATTGTCATATATATATATAATAATAATATACTGACTGCTACGAAATTACATGCTTTTTTTTTATTTATTTACAGCGCGAAACTGCCGCCTTGTAACCACGTGGTAACTGTAATTTCGTTCCAAAAGAAAAAAACTAAATAGATAACGAAAAAAAAAACGTTTCGGGTATGAGTTATATTTATACAACTACGACCAAGTCATCTACCCCTCCACCCATTCTACCCTTTCACACGCTACGCAGTAGTTTCCGGGAGACACGACACTGCTGTAATAACCTAATAACCAAACCATTACATTTACTTTTTATACACACGTTTTTTTCTTCTTTTTAATAATGACACGTTTTATATATATTATAAAAATATATTCTTTGATGATTCGGCTCGTGCGTTTATTTGTTTTATTTTATTTTATTTATTTATTTATTTTTTTTTTTTTTTTTTGTTAGCTGACCTAGAGGGTTAAATATTTTAATGCATCGAAATTGTATCGTTGCCAAACCCATATGGCCTAATAGAAATTGATTATTTTCCGCGCCATTCGACTGCAGTGACGACGACAATATTTTAGGCTCTTTATTTATTTATGGACCGTGGTATTAGATTTAAAAAAAATAAATATAATACTATTTGATCCCCAATAACAATTAACAGTAGCAGTTAATGAGCAACTATTTCTATAATTTTGTTTTATTATTATTATTATTATTTTGTTCAGTATGTATGCTACTCAAATTGCATGCATATCGAAATTAAATGAAATCTTAATCACGAGTGAAAATATAAGTATATACTGTATATTATAAAATAATAAAAACACGCAAAATTTTTCAATCTTAATATATTTGTTTAAATTTCTTTTTCCGAGAATAAATGAACCAACTATTCTTACCTAACCAATTATTGCTAAAAACTTAAAACATTTTTTTTTTTAATAATTGCATAAATTACTGATTAAATGAAATAAACAACCTATACTGCACCAGATATAGCCTATAAAATATATTATCTATATTTTAATTTATAACGTATTATGAGATTAATATAAAGCATAATAGTTATATAAATGTTAGTTCTGGTATTTTGCAGTAAATTTAAAGATAGGTAAATTGCATTACACATTATTATCATATTGATAATACACGCACTTGGTGTCTAACGAATTTATGTACAATTATTTGAATCATATTATATAGTAAACTAATAAGTATTAATTTTTATTAGAATAATTATCGAGTTATTAAATAAATTATAATTATTAGTCTAAACACAAAATACAAAAACAAATTACTCGTTAAAATATCATAAATATTTCAATTAAGTCATCTAAGTAATTTTGGAAGTCCAATATTTTAATAATTTTTTTATTTAAATGCTATTAAGAATTTTTTAATGCAATCTTTTAATAGTCTTAAATTTATAAAACAAACTGATATTAATTGAACATTAACAAATATCTATTTTAATTATTATGTATGAAACTAAGAAAGAAAATTTTAACAATAAATTAGAGCAATCATTTTATAATATTGGATATTATAAAATATGCATACTTTATCAACGTATTTTTATTAATTTTAATATATTAAAATCACTATCATTATTTACGTGCCATTGACTAAACGAAGAACCAAGCCATACATATTATATTACAAAGGTCACTGATTATTATATTATATGTATAAAAATAAAGCTAAGTATACGTTTAATAGTCAAAAGCCTAATTAGAAATGTGTAAAAGACAACATTATTAAAATTAAAAATGGAACCTAGGATGCTTCATTTAACATATTAGGGCCAAAACAAAAATACATAAATACCGTTTTATAATATAAAAAAAAAATGTTGCTAAATATATTATATTATGGGATATGTACCAGACATGAATTTTATAATGTAGGTACGTATTTCGAATCAACTAATAATTTTTGTTTAGCCCAGATGATGAACATTGTTGCACACAATAATATAAAATCATATAATATACGATCTTGAAATATTAATGTAAATATAATTTAAAAACGTTTTTTAATTTAAACAGTAAATATATGATCAATAATAATTTTTAATATTTTTTATGCACATCGAAAATAAGATAATGTATAATGTATTATACAGAAATGTTGTTGATGTATTATATATCACAGAAAGTTTGAACAAGATAGTTTTTCCTTATTTTTACTGTAACGTCACGTATATGATGATACAATATACAATCATAACAGTCATAATACAATTCAGATATTCTTATAATATTTTGTTTTTATTTTTGACAATGCTCGTTAAACATCAATAATTTAATTTTTATATCAAGAAAAATACTAAAATAGTTTTAATGTGTACACAAAATCATAGAATAATAATTAACTATAACAGTTATTACGGGAAAAAATAGGGATGGTTGAATTACAACTTTTAAAAAATTTTATGCTCACTTGAGCAAGATATGTATCGTCAACTATAGTTGGTAATAAATTGTATCGAAGCAAATTTTGTACAATGTTATTCGCTGTTCATGTTTAATTATTGATTTTTCAATACATTGCAAAAGGTTTATAAAAAAATAAAAATAAAATGGTCGAGCGTTTATAATGCTTTAACTCGTATCGGCCAATAAAAGTCTCTCGGGAATCGCGTTTCAGGGTAAGTCATTTAGTCACTCGGAAGGGTAATTTATAAATATGTGTTGTTAGCTTTTTAAGGCCAACAGTGATTAATCATGGCGTAGTAAAAACAATTTCAAATGGACATCCTTTCATTATAAGTTTGACCGTAAATTTGACCGTATTTTGCACTTTTTATGATCTCTTGAAAAGTTATACCGCGCATCTTTCACACACTAAAACTACAGTTTTATCTTTTATTCCATTTATTTCATTATACGCTACAGTAATACACATGTAGGGAAATTTTTGTTGTAGATTATAATATTCTATCATAAAAGCTATTAGCTGAAAAAAATAAACCCAAAAATCTTTATATATAAAAGGCTCAGGATTTAAAACAATTTTATATAGTACATAAAACCACATAATAAAAACCATGAATTAACTGT